GACTGGCGACTTGCAGGCACTCAGGGCCGAGACGACAGCGATGCCGACGCGAAGAAGCTTCTTCACCGCTTCTTAGGCTCATAAAACGGCCAGATCGAAAATTGCCTAATTTTATAGGCGCATAAATTGCAGGCAGAAAAAACGAAGAACAAGACGCTAGGTATTTATTGATGTGTTAGTGGAACATTAATGCGGCCGTAAAAATGATTTCGTCTTTGCTGTGAAATATTTTAGTCATAAATTTCGCCGCTGCAGATAGACTTGGAGCTTGGCCGTCCTTCAAGTAGCGGCTGCCCAATGGGTATAGTCGCACGCATTGACTCAGTTCATCCAACTGGATGATGGGCCCATAGCCTATAGCCGATGCCATTTTCCTCAGCTATGAACTTGGTAATGCCATGAAACGCACAATTTCAAACATTCGATTATCCACGGGTATGATGGTATATTCATGTGCTTAGAGTAATTGCAACATTATTTACAAATTGCGCCAGACAATCCATGAGACATAGCAACAAAAAATACAACGACAACGTCAACAATGGACAAGTTGTCTCGTATGACCAACAACATTTATTAAAAGCATTTCTGAGTTGCTGTGGCTGTGGCTGTTGCTGTTGCTGGTTTCTGGCGATTACATATTTTAGCTGTCGCTGGTACACAAGTAGCTTGTGGTTTTGGTTGTCGATGTTGTTATCTCGCCGCAAAATGATTGATCATAAGCAATGCAGGAGCCGGCGACCAGTGACCAGCGGCCAGCAAGCCCAAGTAATCGGTGATCAGGTGGTGCTCGACAGTGGGGCTGAGTAAGTCTGGAGACGAGGATTGGGCCTGCTCTTTCCGCTCACGGGCATTGTCATTGGTCATTATTTCGATTTCTGGCTGTCGTATGGCATCCTTTGGTACCATGTGTATTTCGTGTATTACATAAAATTTAATGCGTATGCGTTTAATGCGTTCTCTTCGCTGCGATGAGTGATGTCTGCATTAAGATAACATTTGATTAGCTCTTAATTAATGATATTTCGCAGTGAGTCGCCAGTTGCGCCTAATGATAATGTTAAGAAATTAAGCGGAGCCGCCAGAGCAGAAGGACAGCGTACGATAATGGTGTTTTCCATTAATGATCGGAAATTGGGCCAAGCTCAGCCGGTCTGGACGGGGACAGATCAGACCAAGACTTGTCAAACGGAAGCGCATATACTTTAATAATTATTATTAATTCGACTGCAATCATCAGTCGGCAATAAGCACGCGGCTGCCTGCTTCTGCCTTTATCAGCTGCCCACGGATCAGTTTTTTGTTTAATTTCAACAAATGAGCACATTACTCCACCATTACGGACGTCGCGACGTCGACTTCTGCACTCTGACTTACGAGTTACAAATTGCGCGAAACAATAAGCCCAAGGTCGTGTCCCGTTGACATCTCGACTTGGGGCCGAGTCTGAGGCTCATGCTGCGTGTGAAAATCCGCCTGGAGCGAGGAAAGAGAGCGAGAACTTGGGTGCCGTTGAAATCAACTCTTTTGTGGGCGCTGTTGCTGGTGCTAGTGCTGATGATTATCGCGATGATTGCGTAAGCAGGCAGCAAATGTAAATTTGTGGACTGGTAAAAAATATGCAAATGATTTCCCATTTGTATTGTAATATCTAATGGTTCCGCAACTTGATACATTCTCAAAGCATACATATGTATACATCTATAAGTGTTTGTACATATGTATACATGGAGACAATATACTCGTATTATGACTAATCGCCTATTTATACATCATTTAGCCTGTAAAGCCTAGTACTCAGCTCCGAACAAACTGTACTTCTAGCTAAATCAGGGAAGATAAGAAATTTTGTAAAGCACAAACTGTTTGCTAGGGTCTGTACGGCGGGTAGTAACACTAACCATTCGAATTGAAACCTCATTTAGTCATCAGCTGCTTCCGTTGGCCATCATTTGTTCAAATTTGCACATTAATTAGCTATGGGAGTGCACCTCCGAGTATGTTAGTCGGCAGCGTGGAAACAACCTACACCCCACAAAATTTGACAACTTCAGCGAACAATAGACTCGGCCGGCTAACTTAAATCAGCATCCACTCGCGTCTGCCACTGCAGCGGCATCTGCGCCGCTTCAAAGTCATTTCAAAGTCTCCGCCCTCAACGTGTCGTATTGCAGCATAAAACCGCACAGCCATAGACAACTTGCAGCCAGACGGCAGGGCCGCTTTAATGACCAGGTTGCAACCCGTTGCCAGTCAGCCAGTGAGCAGAAACTTCTGCTGCTGTAATTTGATGCGCCGGCTCACGGACTCCGAAGCGCGACACCGACCAGGCACGACCAGCTGGATGTGCTGAGGCTCCAACTGATATTTAATGTGGCATGGTGTGCGTTGACACACATCGCCCATTACCAATCCCATCGATACACTCAAACATAGTCTAACATACTCTTCGTTCCACTATTTTTTCTTGCAGCCCAATCGCTGCTACGCTCCCGAGGTGTGCTGCCGGATGCCCTCTACAACGCTGACCGAAGACGGATACATATTTAACCTGCCTGACAAGACGTTCCCGCTGCCCACCAACCCCACGGTGGCGGCCGTCCGCACCACGCAACCCGCCCTACGTCCACTGCCCACCACTCGTCCCACCAACGAGTACCTGCCACCACAGACAACTCGTCGGCCGGTGTACCAACAGCCTCCACAGACAACACGACGTCCCGTCTACCAACCACCACCCACTACCATCCGCCCGCAAACCCAGCCCACGCAACCAGCGCAACCCGCCTACCGACCACAACCCACACAGCCCTCCTACCGACCACAACCGACACAGCCCCAACCTCAGACGACCCGTCGGCCCACCAACGAGTACTTGCCTCCCGTATCGGTCAACGAGATTCCTCACCGGGAGAACCCACGTTACGAGCCAGACCGTGTGCCGCAACCCTCTAATGAGAAGCCAGTGTACCGCGGCGAGGATCAGCTGTCGCCTCAGATCTTCCCAACGCCCCAGACCGTGAATGTCCCAAAGTACTTTGCCAAGTGCGCTTCTGCCTTGGTCTGCACGGACGAAAACTACTGCAATGCCATCGGGGTGCTCTCCGAAACGCCCGTTGAGCTGTCCCCCATGGAAGCGGCCTTCCGAGTGCCCCTCACCGACTGCTTGCAGGCCGAGACCGGAGCACCTGGAAAATGTTGCCGCGATCCCAACTACGTAGATCCGTGGCCAGTCAATTTGGCCGGCGTTTGCGCTACGAGAAATAAGCGGTAGGAAAAAAAGATTAATGAATCCCAACAGCAATATACAACATTGTTTGGTTTTGTTTTCCCTTTTTGCAGCACTAAGCCCACAGGAATTAAGGACCTTGATGCTAACTTTGCCGAGATCCCATGGCAAGCAATGATTCTGCGGGAGTCTAGCAAGACGTTGCTTTGCGGCGGTGCCATCATTGGAGACGAGTTCGTCCTCACCACCGCCAGCTGCGTCAATGGGTAAGCTCATGAATGCAAAAGTGACATGCAATAGTTCTTTAATATCAATGAGAATCCAATCACGTGTAGGCTGCCAGTTAACGACATACGCATCAAGGCCGGAGAATGGGAGCTGGGAAGCACCAACGAGCCACTGCCCTTCCAGCTGACTGGAGCCAAGTCCATTGACGTCCATCCCTCATATGACTCCTCGAGCAATGCTAACGACCTGGCAATTATTCGACTGGATAAACGCCTGGAGTTCGCCACCCACATCCAACCAATCTGCATCAGCGACGTGGATCCCCAGGCTTCCGAACAGTGCGTGACCTCCGGCTGGGGCAAGCAGGCATTGTCAAGTAAGTTCATGCATGCGTCCTTCCATACATATGTATCCACTCACTCCCCAAACCTACAGTTCACGAAGAAGGCGCAATCATGCACGTGACTGACACATCGTCGCAGGGACGCAGCGAATGCGCAGCGGACGCCACAAGCGTATGCAGCTCCACGAAGTTTGACGCATGCCAATTCGATCTGGGGAGCGCACTCGCCTGCGGCAGCGGGTCGAATGTCCGCCTCAAGGGCATTTTTAGCGCCGAGAACTCCTGCGGGGACGGGCAAACGGTGCGCTTTGCCAAGCCTGACATCAAATGGATTAACACGGCGTTTGCCGACAGGAACAAGCCACTGCTCCTGAAGCGCTTCTAAGCCGCGAAAGGACGCATAGATAACCGTTCTCCGATGAGCAGTACAGTGAAGCAGTAAGCGAAGAGATTGAATAATACCTACAATATAACAGCTCTAGACGGTTTATAGTCTTTTGATTTTAGTTGAACTATCTCAAATTTAGCCAACATTGCACCACTGTTGTTCTATGTCGCAACCTGCCACGCCCACATTATAGATATTTATTCAAGCACCCAAAATAACCCGAGTGGGACACCACAGTTCACATTTGTTGCAATCTCCACTTTCCGACCATGTAGTTCCAATTCAGTTCAACAGTAGAAAAACCACTGACGAGTTGTAAAATAATTATTTTTAAGCGATAGGCTCTTCACATGAATTTTTGAATGGCCAAACTAATTACTACGAGCCCAGCCAACCATGACGACCCACAAAGATTTTGAATTGAAACTTGAGATTATAAAAGATAACATTGTACTTTCTTCAATCCATATATATACTACGTAGTGTAAGCCCTGCCCAGTGCACTCTTTCTAGACATAAGCACAACGGCACTCCTGTACACCACTCCACCCCCACCACATCTCAACTGCAGCATCTACACATATTTTTACTGTTATTTAAAGCTTTTCCTATATCGTGTATCGTAAATCGTGTAGGTATATGTTAATATGTTAAACATGTTGTATAAAGTGTCTATTCATCTAAATTTAGTTTCTAATTTAATTTTTAAATAAAGAAAAATTATTTAGATATATCAAAATGTTTATTAGTTTTCAACATCCTGTCCACACAGATGTAAAAGCGTCTGTTTCTCCTGCAAGCTTCAAACTGAGTTTAAGTGTTATCGTTTACGTTTATTTATATCACACACTCGACTAAGTTCTTCTGCCTAGTCGAGTGCGTATGTACATATACATACATATGTATGTGATATGATTTAATATGTAAATACAAAAGAGAATATAAATTCATAAAGACAATACGTATGTATATGTATAAGTATGTATATATATATATATATAGTAAGTGCACCATTGTGATGTTACATCGCTGTTGTAGTTGATACTCGCAGGTCATCATGCAACTTCTACAACTTTCCCACTTCGTGCAGATATGCGCCAAGGAGTTTGGTCTGGTAAATGAAAACGTTTTAATCACTGTTCACAAAGAAAACTATTCGTTCATTGGCAAACCTACCCCTTCAATGTAGTTGTAAATATCGATCTTTTCATTTTGAGAATGAGCACCGTCGTCGCAGGCACCCACAGGCACCAGGATGACATTTTTGCCTGTCGCTTCCTGCAATGTGAGGGTGACAGGAATGGAGCCACCTTCGCGTGTCATGTCAGGTTCCACGTTGAACACATGCTTGATGGCACGCTTTGCAGCCTCGTAGTGTGGATGGTTGGGATCCTCAGTCCAGGGCTTGCCAGCCGACAGCATCACGACCTACAATGCGTAAAATCAAAATTTGGTTAGCCTGCACCAATGTTTGGAGGCATTTAATAAACAGACCTTCATCTTGTTGGGTGAGCCACGCTCCACCCATTTATCATTGATGTACTTTACAACGCACTCCTCAATGTGCTTCGGGTCTTGGTCGGGAACTAAGCGAATGGAGAACTTGCCAATGACCTTCTTGGGTATAACAGTCTTTGCGCCTGGTTCATAAAAAGCACCTTCGATTCCATGAATGGACAGGCTGGGAAACCGCCATCTGGCCTGAAGTAGTCTCGTTTTGTCGCCGTTATGCGGTAGCTGCTCCACACCAACGTCTTTCCTGCAGAAGATTACACCGATTACAGAGATTTACGATGTAGATGAGCAGATAAGATTAACATACTTATACTCGGCCACTTCAAAGTCGATGTTCTCGTAGATTTCTTGCTCGTTCTTCAGCTGCGGTGCCACCTATTGTGTGTCGAATTTAGGACTTAGGAACTAGTCGCTTGTTATCTGATATGCCACTCACGTCACGATCCACTCCTGGGATCAGTATCTTGGTGTCCTTGTCGACGAGTACGCTGAGCAAGTAGCAAAGATCTGGCATTGCTTCATGAACGGTGCCACCGAAAACTCCACTGTGCAGATCCTTTGTGGCACACTCTACCTCCACCTGGAAATATGCCAAGCCACGGAGTCCATAGGTGAGGCAAGGGCGTTTTTTTCCCAGCCAGTAGTTGTCCGAAATGCAAACGTAGTCAACATCAGCAAGGAAATCATTTTTGCGTTCCATCAACAGATCGTCGAGGCCTTCGCTGCCACTCTCCTCCATTCCCTCGAAAACAAACTTAACGTTAAGTGGCAGTGGAATGTTCAGCTTCTGGTATGCCTCGATCGCATGAATCCAGCACAGGACCGGTCCCTTGTCATCGGATGCCCCGCGGCCAAACAGCTTCCCATCGACCTCTGTGAGCACAAAAGGATCGGTATCCCAGCCGTCCTCCTTAAGGGCAGGCTGCACATCAAGGTGACCATAGACCAAGACAGTTTTCTTAGTGGGGTCCTTGCCCAAAGTCCCCAGCAGCACCTTTGGCAACGGAATTATCTGCCCGCTCGGCAGCGTCTGCTTACCCACATCCGCAAGCTCGATTTCTGTGCCCAATGCCTTTAGCTTGTCTGCGGTCCAGTCAACCATGCGATCGATCTCGCCGCGCTTATCAGGCCAAGCCGACACGGACTGAATGCCCACAGCGGTCTTCAGTACGCCTATGTAATCGCCTTTCTTGCCATCAACGAAGCTAGTAAAAATATAATCATTTTATGACCATCAGATATGGGTGTGTGAAGTAAATAAAAGAAAACCACATGTTCTATGAACTAAAAAAATATGGATAATCGTGCTTGCGGTTTTTTTCTGCCTCTTCTATTCCTCGCCCATCCCCTCGCCCATTCCATCACACATCTAACAAAGAAAGCGATAACGAGAAGAAACTTTTGCAACGTATTCCAGCCATCATTCGTTCGAGATAAAATGCAAATCACCCACGCCCATTACTTTTACTCGTACATATAGTGATACGGTGCTGCTTATATACACGAACATCTTTATTTTCGTGCAAATAAAACGGAAAAACAAGCACCCAGTCATTTTATTCCTATCGTCCCTTATCAAGCGTTCTTTTCTCTTTCCCCTTATTTTTGCCGCACAACGTGCCTATCGTGTCGCCAGAAGCGGCAGACAACAGGATTTCAAGTTATCCCTGCCACCCCACATTTTCACTTATTTGCACTCACGCGAATAATTGCTGAAGTTCACTGGGAAGCTCTGACATGTTGACAATTTTTTAATTTATTTAACTGAACCGACGACTTTCGCTGCGTTTAAATAGTCAGCTGTGCAGTGTGACCGTGCACTATTTTGTCTGGATCTCAGAAATATACCAAAATATACCTTCTCATTTCCCAAATATACCATTGATATATGTAAGTCTAGTCACTAATAGTGTTATGACATTAGCCTTTGCCAATTTTGCTGCGTAGAGAGGGATAGAATGAGAGACAAGATGCAGCAATATTGTTCGGAGCCGTCTCTAGACCCGTCTAATGGCTTTCAGTCGAACAACTGAGGTACTACTTGATACAAAATTATGTTTTCCAGCAAAAAACAGCCACAAAGCCAGCAAAATTGTAACCGCAACGCTGCTCCACATGGGAAGCCAGGTTGACGCATATATATTGCTCTCACTCTGACTGCAGGCATTTCCCATAAGGCCATTTATATTTTTATAACTAGTCAGTTAGCAAAGTCTTATGTCATAACATCGTAGTTATACAGTATATCGTGCGTATGAGTGTGTTCTGGTCTAAAGCAGCCGATTTGACAAACGGAATAGAAAGTTTCTTTTCTATGAAAATTCTTCTTATTCGAAAATATTTTTGCGATTATCAGTATTCATATTTGATTTCCTTGTAATATGTACCTATTAATTGCAATTGCTTGAGTGCACACGTAAATTCATACATATGTATGTACGTACTTCAAATATTTGCTAATTGACTCGTCGACCCTTGAATACATTTATGGAAAATTTTTCGTACATGAGGTCAGATGTGATATACATATGTATGCACATTATTTGTATCTTTACAACCGTTATTCCATTTGATTATTCTATATTAAAAGTATATTAGCACATAACGTATATTTAAAATAACAGTTCTTCTGATATTGTGGGGCAAGTTTCTTAAAAAAATTGTCAAAATACTCAAAAACATATGTACCTGGTAAAGGGCGTTGTATTTGAGCTCAGAAGACCATGGGAAGCAATCGAGCAAGCTGGCTTGAAAAATTAAGTAATGAAGACAAATATAATCTAATTAGGGCAGCTTTATGAAGGACAATTATATAGAAATTATAATTTATTATTTTTACTAATTTTAATGAATATAAAAAAAATATTTTGATTGTAACTCATCTCCCACAGCAAGGATTGCTAATCCCAAGTGGTATACATATATTTCTATTCTATTCTAAAGGGATTCCGTTAGATAAATTTGATTTGTATGGGAAAAATTTCAGCAGCGTGCAGCATTCAATGGGAATATGGATATTATAGAATTGAGGCAATGTTTGTAATCTCAGGCTCAAATGAGTGCAAGACTACTGTCTTGTTTAAAAGATGTTAACGAATTTTGCAGCTTTTGGGTACCAATAACAGGACTGGCCTAAATGTATATACAAAACACAAATCAAATGCATTAATAGGTTAAGGCAAACATTTCGATTGAAGACAACTTCAATAAATATTTTTCAAGGCAGCTTGGAACAACAAATTGAACATTAATTGAGAGAAATTAATTAACCTGGTGGACCAGTGGCAGTGAGATCACATTCCCTACACATTTACGTATTTTTTAATCCACCAATGTGGAAAACGTGTAAAACTGCCATTCCCATCTCAATTTATTCAAAAATGTCAGAAAAAAAGGCATGAAAAAAAGTGGATAACTTCCATGGAGCTTCTATGAAGACTAGGTTTAATTTAAACGGTCCACTAAAAAACGGTCAGTTTTCAACTGAGAATTTTAAAATTTATATAATATTCTGGTAACGCTTTATTCAGGGCAGTATTTCAGCAATCCAGTACGCCAACGCTGTTTTCAGGGCAGACACCGTATATTTTTGAAGGTCAGACGGAATATATGGTCACTAAATCTGTGGTCACACTGTTCACAGTCTGTTTTGGCGGCGGCTCTGTGAGAAATAATTATTACTAAAAATGCTATTTAATGCTATTTTTTTAAGCGAAATAATAAAAAGATTGTTCAAAATAGTTTTTTTGTTGATCTTTACTGGTTACTAACCTGATTAGATAGAGCAGGGTTAAGCTATTTTTTTTCTCGGTATATTTGAGGCATATTTTGAAAATGACGTTTCTGAGGTTCTAGTCACACTCTTCAAAACAAATCAAGTGAAATATTTATTTTTCCATATATTAATATACTTTTGAAAATGACCGCCAAAGTCATTTAGCGTTAAAAAATTCCAGACATTTTTCGCTCCCAATTCGTGGTGGTTTTTTAAAATTTGCTCTCTTTTCCGAGTTGAAGAGAGCGCTTTCGTGGTGACTTTCCCCTCCTTTTCGTGGTGTGAGCAGCATGTATCTTACGGGAACGGGTTTTATTTGAAACGTAGATTCATTGTTGCGCGTTCCTACGCGTTCCCCGTAAGATACTTTTGATTTGTATGGGAAATATTTCAGCAACATGGGAAATGAATAGGCAGCACTGTTCTGCAACGTTGGAACAGAATGAGCAACAAATCTGAATACATTGGCAAAATGGATATTATGGACTTGAGATATTGTTTGTAATTTCAGGTTCAAATTAATGCACAAACTACTCAGTCTCTGTTTTAAAGACATTAACGAAATTTTGCAGCTCACGGGTACCAATAATAGGTATCAGAACCGGGATAAATGTTTTTATAAAACACAAAACATAGGCATCAATGGGTTAAAAACATGTCAATCTAGGATAAAATCATTATTAATGTTTCAAAGGAGCTTGGAACAACAAATTTAATATCACTTAAAGGAAATAAGGTATACAAAAGTCCATACGCATAGAAGAACTTGGTTGACAAACAACAATGATGTCGCATTTAGTCAACATTTACGTTTTATGCTTTGGCCGTTTTTGTTTGAACCTTTTTATGTAAACAATCCAATGAAAAAGTGTACTGAAACTAGCCAATCCTGAACAAAATTTATTGAGGAGTCGGACAAAATTATGTGTGAAGTGATGAGAGTCCCGGCTAGCTAGTAATATTAAACCGAATATCAAAATCGAGGAATATTAACTTAAAATGATTTGGAAAAAACAATCGATACTATCGTAATAGTATCGGGTTCAAATAATTATTAAAAAACCATTTAAACCTTTTAGGAACTTGTCCATTGTAAAAATTAGATGCCACCTGTCAATTTGTTTAAAAATTTGTCTTCGTATTTTAGAGCAGCCAATCCAAAAACATATCAAAACCGCAACGACTGTAGCTCGATACTATCATGATAGTCTCAAAACCATCGATAGTAGAGGCTAGCAGCGAAATATCGATACTATCGATAGTGCCCCCTTTGGTTTGACACCTCTAGTTCACAGTCTGTTTTGGCGGCGTCGCCGTGAGAGTTGTTCTGTTTTTTTACGTTTTAGTTTTAAGTTTAGCGCGGTTTTACCCGATGCCGGTGTCGCCCAAATAATGCTAGACACAGCATAAAGCAACGGTGAGAATGGCATTTTTTGGCGATTACCTCACTCTGGACAAGAGCAGCTATTCATAGCTATTCGTGTGTCTTATATATAGGCACCACCAACTTTAAACGTTTAAGAAACCCCAAAAACACGACACACGCAGAAGAAAGTGTGGAAAAATGGGTCGAAGTCGCAGTCCCGCCTCTCCAGCCCACAGAAGACGGGAGAAAGAGCGCACAGAGCGAAAAAAGAGACGAGAACGGCGCTCCAGAGAAAGAGAGGCGATTGGCAGCAGCAGTAGCGGGCGCCGTGACCGTGATCGTGAACGCGAGCGGAGTCGCAGCCGTGACAGGGATCGTGCGCGTGGAGGAGGACGGCGTTCTAGGTGAATAACAAAGTGTAGTGTACCAAAAACCAAGCCAAACGATAAGTATAAAACATCCAAACATTATTTACCCATACACATAACAAATAGTTTAGGTGTGTGAAGGGGGGTTCTAACAGGGAAACACTTACCAAATATCGATAGGGCATTCAATTGTTAGAGATAGAGCTATCGAGCAGGTCATCGGTTCCTTTGCAGCTCTGTCCGTCGGCGCCCTAAAAAATTACCACGTGAAGTGAAATTTAACCGGATTTCATCACAAAGTCGAACAAATTCTTTGCAAAAACGTATAAAGTATATCTAGAAACTCGGTCGATTTGGGCGCATTCAAGCCGAATAATCACCACTCAGCAAACACAGAGGAAGAACCGAAGTTAATAGACAAACAGAAAAATGGCTCTTCGCGTGCAATTCGAGAACAACGATGACATCGGCGTCTTCACCAAGCTCACAAATACATATTGCCTGGTCGCCATTGGCGGCTCCGAGACCTTCTACAGTGCTTTCGAGGCCGAATTGGCCGAGACCATACCTGTTGTGCATGCAAACGTGGGAGGCTGTCGCATCATCGGACGCCTCACTGTCGGTAACCGCAACGGACTGCTGGTGCCCAATTCGACCACAGACGAGGAGCTGCAGCATCTGCGCAATAGTCTGCCAGACGCCGTGAAGATCCAACGGGTGGAAGAGCGTCTGTCAGCCCTGGGCAACGTGGTGGCCTGCAACGATTATGTTGCCCTCGTTCATCCAGATTTGGACAAGGAGACGGAGGAGATTATCGGCGACGTCCTTAACGTGGAGGTCTTCCGCCAGACCATTGCCGACAATACCCTGGTCGGCTCCTACACAGTACTGAGCAACCAGGGTGGTATGGTGCATCCCAAGACGAGCATACAGGACCAGGACGAGTTGTCCTCTCTGCTGCAGGTCCCCCTCGTAGCCGGCACGGTGAATCGTGGCAGCGAGGTCCTCGCGGCTGGCATGGTGGTCAACGATTGGCTCTCTTTTGTGGGCATGAACACAACAGCCACAGAGATCTCGGTGATTGAGAGCGTCTTCAAGCTGAATCAGGCTCAGCCGGCGGCGGTGACAACTAAATTACGCGCGGCTCTTATTGAGGACATGTCCTAGGCGGACATCCCGTCCTAATCACACCCTTATATATGTACTTGATCTAAGCGATATCTTTGTTATCTTCTATACAATGTCATTTAAGAGCGCAATGCGAAATACAAAAAAAAAACCAACACGAAATACATTGGATCCGTTTAGGCAATATGTAGTCTATTCCACCCTACCGATGCGATTCCATACTACCTTTTAATGAAGTACCCGGACTGGTTCTGGTTCTCCTGGGTATCATATTTCCCTCTCTTAATTTAAAAAAAAAAACTTCCAAATGGAGATGCACAGCCCGATGCAATGCAATTCCAGGTTGCCCCAGTTAATTGCCAAGCTTCTTTCGACTCAAATGCAATCATTTTCCACTTCAGAACGAATCTGTCACTCACCAAAGCTGAAATTCCCAATTCGCAGATCACGTTCGAGAGGCGGCGGTGGCGGTGCTGCTGGCGGCGGTAACAGCAGCAGCAACAACAGCAGCTCGGGACCATCGACGTCCAGGCGAACCACACGGAACAAAGCAGCGGCCGCTGCTGCAGCAGCTGCTGATCGTCCCCAGATCAATGATGCCGATCTGGAGGGTAAATCGCCGGAAGAGGTTGAGATGCTCAAGACAATGGGTTTTTGCACGTTCGACACCACCAAGAACAAGAAGGTCGAGGGGAATGATGTCGGTGAAGTGCATGTAATCCTCAAGCGGAAGTATCGCCAGTATATGAACCGCAAGGGTGGCTTCAACAGGCCGCTCGATTTCGTGGCCTAACAGCCGGAGGAGTCCTTTTTCGCTCCTTCGCTGCCCTGGCGGCCACTACCAACCAAACTAGTTTGCTACGATTTTTTACTTGTCCTTGCTGCACGCCTGCCTTCGTTGCACGCACGGGGCCGAGCGGCGACGGACAAAAACCTGCAATTTTATGCAATAGACCGGTTTACAAAATTCTCAAATTTTTATCCCACCCAAAATTTCCACTCAATCAACCAAGCTACCCATCAGCCACCCAGCAACAGCACTACACACACTCATACCTCAGTTAGTTATTTAGTAGTATAAGCCAGAAGTGCGCCTTTGTTATAAAGTTACCACGTTAATTTTACAACAAATATCTGAAGCTGAAAGCAAAGCCCCACAAAAGCCCTAGAACAGAATTCAAAATGTTACATGTTCGAGAATTGGGGAGTCTGCTTTCAGTTGCATTTGAGGCGCACGACGACGATTGCTTTTTAAATATTTCAAAGTAATTAACAATTGTTCTTGTTGACGACATCACATCATTTTTAACGGAATACGAATTAACTGAAGGCCAGCCTGCGCCTAAAATTCACAACAGCAAAATTTCCAAACCACACACAGACAATTACTTAAAGTATTTGAAAACACACACCCGAAACAAACCACAAAACCCTCTCCGATCCCGATCCAAAAACTATCCCACAAACAACTCCTCCATACGCTGCAATAGTACAAGTTTTACAACCAAACAAATATATATCAAATATATATTTAATATATATGAAATTAATTATATACACACACACACACCACAAGTACCTTATCCTGATGATCCCCCAGATAAACCGAACAATAGCCATAGCAATTTGTTGAATGAAACGTTATTTGTTATCAATCAAAATGTTGTAATTAAACCAGTTAATTCCGATTTAAATCACAAGTGCCAACGCAGATCAGGCACATCAACGCTTAAGATGAAACACCTTTTATATAGACATATTTGTATGATCATTTTGTACTCTTTTATAGGACTATTATATACACATATGCATGTGTTTGTATGACTTAACAAACCAACTATTATAAGCAATAGTTACAGTTTTTTCTTGCTTTTGGCAAATACTATTCATTGGTAATTGAAAAACGTTTGGCCCACACACTCGCACTTCTCAATCCATTATTTGTAACCCTTAACTATATCGAAATTGCAGGGATTATTTCTTATTTTATATTCTCCTACAATAAACTGAACGAAAATGTAAGAAAATAAAAACGAAACATTTTTCTCTTTCAAGGATCTTTGTGTGTATTTTGTAAAGGAAGAAATTATAAAAATTACTACTATGCAACTTTAGATGAAAAATATGAAAATTCTGCTAGGGGTACAGATATTCTCCATTTAAAGGAAGATATGGGGCAGAGCAGAACTTTAATTTTGATTTTTGAACCTCACGAAATTGCTAATAATTATTAGCGAGCACTTCAAAATCTAAAGTACATATGTATGTACATTCTATTCAATCTTCCAGATTAAGACATATGTACATTACCGGTATATCATTTGGGGTTTACGGTTCGTGTTTAAATTTATTTTTTAATACATTTTAATACATCATTTTTGAAATTTGATTCAAATCCAAATACATAATGAAATGCTTAAACAGAGAAATTAGTGTTACATTATCGTGAAGGAAAAATATTATGAACACAAGGCTTTTGGGACGAAAATGAAAGTGTACGACTAAGGTTTAAGTTAGTTATTGTTACGTTTCGTTTGCAGATTCCATATTTAAGAAATACATGTTAAGGTGGCACGCACATACCACGTGTAAACATTTTATGCATTTGGTGTTGGTATTAATTGTGGAAAACATTTGTTCTTTTGTGCGCAGAGCAGAGGACCTGTCTTGCTTAAAGTATATATGCATGTATGTATATGTGAAAACAATTTGCTTTGTAAAATGCTGTTTTTTTCTCGATTCTATTTCTGTTTGTTAGTCTTTTGTTGCTGGTCTATTTACTGAGACCGACTGGATCTAATCCGCCCTGTGAGGTTTGCGCTTACGCACTTGGTCTGTTCTATCGAGTTTTTCTGGCCCAGCATCGCCGGCCTGCTTTGCTACTTCTTTGACGGTCTTCTTCAACTCATCGGCATCATAATGGGCCTCTTTCTGGAGAACTGGAACATCGTTAGAGTCCTTTGTGCTGCTCTCGTCGTCCTTCTCCTCCTCTTCGTCTTCCGGCTCTTCCTCGACGCTGTCTCTCTGCTGATCCTCTTGATCATCATCATCGTCGTCGTCAGCCTCGCCATCATCTTCGATTTCCTCGGTGGCCAGGTCTTCAACGCCCTCAGCTAGATTGTCCTGAGACTCTGAGAAGCTCTGTCGCTGGGATTTCTTGGGAGGATACACAAAGTCCACAAGGCAAACAAGCAGTAGTCCCAATGCGGCGCCAACGAAGATAGTGGCGATTGCAAACAGAGCATAGGAGCCCCATGTGGGCAGTCCGTATTCCTCTTGCAGGCGCCCGTTGAAGTCCTTAAAGAGTTTTTGCGTTTGCTATTAGTACATGAACAACAAACACGTAGCAATGCAGATAGCAAAGACCAGAGTTATGAGTCAATTAGCAAATGGGAACGGAACGTAATCGGCTCTCAACACCAGGGGTCAGTTGGCGCTGATAAGCTTCCGCATCCCGCAAGCAATGAACTGATGTGTGAGCAGCAGAGATAAACACAGTGGATTGCACGTCGCAATCCACTCAAACAGGTGAACGTACCTTCAGGGTGTGGGACAGCTTGAAGAAATAGGATAACACAGACATGTGGATGGTGTCGGGCTTCTTCCAGGCGGATAGCGGCTCAATGCTCTGCCACTGCTGCTTCTTCACAAAGTGCAGCAGAGCGTCTCCGTCGCGGGCTCCACGATACTGACGGAATTCGCCATCTTTGACGCTGCAAAAATCACAGTAGAGGTCTTAGTGTTCGTTTGGTCAGTTTTAGAATTATCTTAATGGACTCACTGATAGATGGTGGGCAAGGCGGTGACAAAGAAGCGTCCGCTGAGGGATGGCGATGTGGTCACATCAATTTTGGCCACCTCCACCTTCACATCCTTCGCTACGCGTGCAAACCGCTCCCAAGTGGGTGCCAGGTTCTTGCAAGCCGGGCACCATGGGGCAAAGCTGAAAATACATATTAAAACAGCTGCCGACGAGTAAGGTGTGTGAGAGGGAGGAACGGGGACTGCGTCATCAGCATGAGTCTGCACTGCGCGTCGCAAGAAGCAAATAACGGTATGCAGCATTCCACAGAACCAGCTTGCCAGTCGTTGTTTTTGTTGCACGCTTGTTGCCGCATGAGGCACACCCCACACCGGACTGCGACTGCGTTACGTCAGGTGGGGTGGGGGATGCAAGGATGGATGGGGAGCAGGGGGTCGGGTCCCTATGTCTAACTCACAATTCAATCATCCATTCGCCTTTGAGCATCAAATGCCAATTATCCTCGTCCAATTCGATTAGCTTGCCACCTGGCTGCAGTCCTGCCTGCGCTGTTGCCGCATGTGTCAACATCAATACAATGACACATGACGCGGCCACAAGCTGTGAATTACGCTGCATTTGTTTTTTTTTTGTGTTGCGTGCTCTGCGTGGGACGAATCAGTCATACAATATGTCGCAATTGACGCAGAATAGAACTGGCTACTTTGTTTGCTAAATTATACTATTTATATTGAGTTAATATTCAAAATTCAAACAAAAGTAAAAAACTGCGACGCCGACTGCGAAAATTGATATTTGGTTCGATAGTGGTTCAATTCATAGCTAGTGACCAGAACCAAAAGAACCAGCAACTATCGCCAATCTGGAGCATTCATCGATTTAACCAAATTGCGATACTGTTTTACAAAGAAAAAACTACAATCACAACATTGAAAAACAAAATTTTTTGGTCTCTTCGCTCGAGTTGCTCCTGTAGTCTGCCACAACATGGCTAATAATTATCTGCAGCCGGTGCATAATTACTTCGATGACGTGGACCGCTTGGAGGATATTGATGATGATTTGTTTCTGAAGAACAAGCGAACAAATGCCAGCAGCCACAAACCACAGCGCAGTACCAACCCGTTCGAAAACGACGATGACGAGGACTCGACAACCTCTTCAATGTCAGCTCAGCGGCTGGCGTACGCGGAGAAGAGACGAGCAATAGAGCAACGTACTCTGGACTCGACGGAAAAAAGCCTGGGTAACAATATAGGCGAAGGCTGGTTGGCCAATTAATGGGCGTTACTAATTGATATCATACACTCTTAAACTGAACAGGTCTGCTCTACGAAACCGAGGAGGTTGGGAAGGCCACGGCCATAGAGCTGGCAAAGCAAAGAGAGCAATTGGAGAAGACCTCGCATCAATTGGATGAAATCAACTCTACCTTACGCTTCAGCCAGCGTCATCTGAATGGTCTGAAGAGTGTATTCGGAGGACTGAAGAACTATTTGTCAGGCAACCGTGATCAGGCATCCTCGGCCACGGCCTCGCCCACGGCCAGTCAATCCTCGCAGGAAGCCAACAGTAATGTTAACGCTGGAGCCTTCGGGGGATCCTCGGTCCCCCTGTCACCCGCTGAGCACTACGATAACCATCCAGTTAGTCGGATACGCGGGGAATCCGTCAGTAAATATCAGCCGTCAACTCAAGCAGGTAACCCCTTTCAAGCCCAGCTGGACTCAAATCTGGAAGATATGTGTGACAATTTGTCACGCTTGAAGTTCTTGGCCACCGACTTGGGCACTGAGATTGAATCGCAAAATGAGCTCCTGGACAACATGAACTATAAAATCGAGGACGTCGACCTGAAGATGACTAGACAGAACAAGGATATGAATAAATTGCTAAAAAAGTAGTCTGCCCTAGAGTCGTCGACGATGAAACATAACATAGTCATAGCGTATCGCAAACTGGATGCCCGAAGGCCATTGCAAGTGCATTCCTCATTTTAGTTTTCACCTTTTTGTTGTTACACAAACCAAAAGGAAAATATTCGCGTTCATTTATTGAATAAAAACTTCATATTTCGAATTTTTGTCGATATTTATATTTTCCAAGAATAAGTTCCAAACTCAAACATCGATCTGTTTGAGCAAAAAGAAAAAAACATTGGTTGAAGACGTCAGGTGCCCGAATTTCGTTGGTTAAAATTGGAAATAAAAACCGTCATTGTGTGTTAATCAGGTTTTACCTGAATTTGTGACGTTTTTCACTCAAGACCTCAAAGTTTCCTTAAAGCTTCCTTCCCTTAGGGAAGAAAAAAGAGGATATAATGAAATGTTTGTCATCTATGCAGTGAAATTGTAACTTAATTTTTCAATCCATCTCATATAATTTTGTAGTCTATGGTATTCTTACAGATATCAAACGGGATCGAGATATATGTATATGGAAGAATCTGATCTAGGTCAAAAACATGTCATTACGACAAAAATTCCTAATACCTTGGTTCCGAAGCAGCTTGGAAAACAGAAATTAAACATTATTGAAAGGAAAGTAGATGCCATACTCCTAAATGTGTAGTTACCGTGTTTCAAACCTTTGTTTAAACCTCATATCATAAGTAATCTTGTAGAACATTGATTCGTCTAGTGGATATAATTATATCACAACATATTCAGAAAACAAATCAAATAACATTAATTAAAGGAAATAGGGTATACAAAATGTTCATACGCATATTAAAAACCTGGTTAACCAGGCAACAATGACGTCACATTCCGGTACACACTTTCGTTTTATACTTTGGCCGCTTTTGTTTTAACATTTTGTGTAAACAATGCAATAAATAGGACTTCTGAAAATTAGCCAATCTTGTACAAAATATATTGATGAATCGGATAAAATTATTTATTAGGGCTGAGGAGGCTAACTAGCTAGTGATATTAAACCGAATTTCAAAATCGAGGAATATCAACGCATCCTTCAGTATATTTACGGTATAATATTCAATCAAGTTCCAATTTATTTCTTAATTTATTTATTTATTAGGGCCTGTCTCCAGCACCGCGGAAAATTGCGGCAAGGAATTTGAAAGTTATTCCGTGAGGGTGTGGAACATAGCTTAAAACAGGGTTGATGAATCAGCTGTGTTTTGTAAACAAGGCAACTGTAAAATTATGCTAAAATTAAAAAAGGAAAAAAATACACTCTGATGATGAAGTGATTGTGTTGGTGGCGGCATATATTGTTGCAAAACAAAAAAGAATAATTTTCATCTCTCTTTTTGGTTTTGCGGACAGTTTTTGCCTACATCTCGCACCATTCACTTCAGGAGGAATTGTAAAGTATATATTCCTGAGCTGGGTATCAGCTGTTCTCTCAGTCCACACACGGTCCTGATAGGCAACTATCGATATAAATCTGTGGATTCCGCTCGTGTTGCTGGATACACATTCCAGGAATACGTAAGCGAAACATTCCTGTCACAGTTTTTTTTTATATGGAATTTTTCGATTCCGATGGATCTTTCCAGTGAAAGAGCGCTGTGATACTTCCTCTTTTTCGGGGTTCCCAACTACATTTAGTGCAATATTAATAAATACTTTGACATTTTTCGTTTTTGTGTTCTGGCGGACCCCCAATGGGGTTCATCTGCGTCAAAGAAATATTTATTCTTGAGGGCGTGAAAAGACGGGGGGATTTTATGGCCATTCTCAAATTTAACAAGATCCCACTTCAATACCTAACTTTCTCTGATCACAAAAATAAAGTTTTCTAAAAACAGGAACGCTAGAATGGGCTTGGTTTGGCTCAGTTTTTAACCAAAAAATTGTATATCAAATACATATAAAACTTAAGCAAGTAGTAGCTTAAAATAATAGTAAGAAATATACTACGTGGAGGGAGGAAATTCTCCGTATCTCTCCAGCTTGTAGCTGTTGAAATTCTCCAGGCTACAAGGTATCCTATCTAGGGCCAATTTATGACGCGCGCGACATTTTCCGACGGGTTGTCTCCTCAATTAATTGGCTTGAAATGAAAATAATTCCCTCTTACCAATAAATACTGAAACTGTACCAAAATTTCAACCATTTTTCATTGGTTGGTGCTAATTTTTGGGACATTCTACTCTTTTTGAAAATTTAAATTCAAAATGTTAGGACATTTTTATGTTGCTCGGCCACATGCTGGTAGAAATCTGTGTTTTGAAGACAGTGCATGGTACAACGGCGAGTCTGATACAAATTATTATCGTCGAAATTTAAAAATGATTACACTAGTCAACACGAGAATTAGGCTGTGGCCCAAAATGACTTTTTCTTATAGATTTCGGGGTTTAAAAATGTTTAACGAATTATGGTTTTTTTTTATGGTGTAGTTTTTTTTTAAATAATTTTTTAAAATCTGATATTTTTTTAATGTTTTTTTTTCAGAGGTAGTGCTTCTATATTTCACATAACTTAAGTATCTTATATCTTGTTGCATAGAACGTTGCAGTTCTGAAAAGCTGACAAATGCAGCTATAAATCGGACCCAGACCCTTTGTATCTGCAGATTAATGCCTGGAAGATATTAAGCTTTCAAATTAAAATTTCATCATTTTCTTCGGTATTATTCGGTATTCATTAAAATCTATGGATAAAGAACTACAACAATTTTTAATTCCCGAAATCTATCAGAACGAGAAGGAACGTGTGAGTCGCTTCTGGGGACGCGACTCTACTTATACCCGTACTCAGTCAGTATATACATTTTTGAGCATGATTTTTTAGAATTTTAGAATTAAAAAAAAAATTTTACATTTTACATTTTTTTGCTACATTTGTTATCTACATCTACATATACAATGTCTATTCTACATCTAACATGTAGTTTGTACAAGTACCATTTAGATTCTACATCTCCTCCGCTAGGGGTTGCTCGCGCACTGAACGCGGCAGAGTGTGCGAGCGAGAAGGAAAATGAGTTGCCTTGTCGTTCGCGGGAGGGGAAGCAACTGAAAATTAATTTCTTCATTCTGGCTATAATTATGATCCGATCTGATTCAGATTCGGCAATCTGGTAGATATGGGCATTCTCTACGATACTGCGTTTTTAGTTTTATCGTATCTTTAAAACTGTGCCTGCCACAGATTTTCGTCCTTTGTGTGGGCGGAAGGGGGCGGGGCGAAATTTTGAAATACACTTGTAGCAGTGTGATATCACATGAGTCTGGAAACCAAATTTGGTTTCTCTAGCTCTTATAGTCTCTGAGATCCAGGCGCTCATCAAGACGGACAGACGGACAGACGGACATGGCTATATAGACTCGGCTATTGATGCTGATCAAGAATATATATACTTTATGGGGTCGGAAACGTTTCCTTCTCTGCGTTGCACACATCCACTTTTACCACAAATCTAATATACCCCTTAACTCTTTTTTGAGTACGGGTATAAAAAGTCATTTTGGTTCACAGCCTAAAAAAAAGTTTAATTTTGTCGAGTAGTGTTATTATTTAAAATTACTGGTTTTATTTGAAATGCAGATTCATTTTGGCGCGTTCCTACGCGTTCCCCGTAAGATACTTTTGATTTGTTTTGGAAATATTTCAGCAACATGGGAAATGAATAGGCAGCATTGTTCTGCAACTTTGGAACAGAATGAGCAACAAATCTGAATACCTTGGGAAAATGGATATTATGGACTTGAGATATTGTTTTTAATTTCAGGCTCATGCCAATTAATCAGTCTCTGTTTTAAAGATATTAACGAAATTTTGTAGCGCGCGGGTACCAATAATAGGTATCAGAATGGTAAACTAGATCATTATTAATGTTTCAAAGGAGCTTGGAACAAAAAATTTAACATCATTTAAAGGAAATAAGGTATTCAAAAGTCCATACGCATAGAAGAACTTGGTTGACAAGCAACAATGATGTCACATTTAGTCAACATTTAAATTTAATGCTTTGGCCGTTTTTGTTTGAACCTTTTTATGTAAACAGTTCAATGGAAAAGAGAGTTCTGAAAACTAGCCAATCTTATAGAAAATTTTTGTATCTATCGGATAAAATTATTTGTTTAAACTGAGAGGGCTAACTAGCTAGTATTGTAAACCGAATATCAAAATATGAGGAATATCAATGTATTTTGTCGTGTCCTTCAGTATATTGACGGTATATTTCGATAATGAAAATGTATATTTCGTTTAAATGCTTGATCAATAATCACGGTCACATTGGCTAGCGCGCATTTTCGCAGTTAAAAACTTCAAGAATAGAGCTGTCAAACGATTGATAGTTGAGCCATCGATAGCTTTGAATGTTTTGAAAAAAACAATCGATACTATCATTTGGCTAAAAAAATTATGGCTAAAAAATTATTAATATTTTTTTTTTTTGTTATTTACTGGTTACTGGTTCTCTGTTTGAGGTCACTCGACAAAACAAATCAAGTTATTTTTCCAAATATTAAGACACATTTCAAATTGACCGCCAAACTCAATTTAGCGCACCAAAAATTTCGCTCTCAATTCGTGGAGAGTTTGCAAAACTCGCTCTCAATTCGTGGAGAGTTTGCAAAACTCGCTCTCAATTCGTGGAGAGTTTTCAAAATTTGCTCTCAATTCGTGGAGAGTTTTCAAAATTTGCTCTCAATTCGTGGAGAGTGCTCTCTTTTCAGTGGAGAATAGAGTGTTTTTGTGGAGACTTTCCCCTCATTTTCGTGGTGTGGCAGCATGTTGCTGAAATTTTTCCCATACAATGACGCAACAATGAATCTTTATTCCATACGCGTTCCCGTATGATACATTTGATTTGTATGGGAAAAATTTCAGCAACATGGGGAAATGAATTAGCAGCATTGTTGTGCAACTTTGGCACGGAATGAGCAACAATCTGCATACCTTGGGAAAATGGATATTATGGGCTTGAGATATTGTTTGTAATTTCAGGCTCCAATTAATGCAGAAACTACTCAGTCTCTGTTCTAAAGATTTTAACAAAGTTTTGCAGCTCACGACTACCAATAATAGGTATCAGAACCGGGATAAATGTATTTATAACACACAAACATGTGCATAAAGTAAAAACATGTCAATCTAGGATAAAAATAAATAATGTTTCAATGGAGCTTGGAACAAAGCATTTAACATCATTTAAAGGAAATAAGGTATTCAAAAGTCCATACGCATAGAAGATCTTGGTTGACAAGCAACAATGATGTCACATTTAGTCAACATTTAAATTTAATGCTTTGGCCGTTTTTGTTTGAACCTTATTATGTAAACAGTTCAATGAAAAAGAGTTCTGAAAACTAGCCAATCTTGTAGAAAATTTATGTATCTATCGGATAAAATTATTTGTTTAAAACTGAGAGGGCTAACTAGCTAGTAATATCAAACCGAATATCAAAATTGAGGAATATCAATGTATTTTGTCGTGTCCGTCAGTATATTGACGGTATATTTCGATAATGAAAATGTATATTTCGGAATATTTTTGAGGATCAGAGGGTATATTTGATCAATAATCACGGTCACATTGGCTAGCGCGCATTTTCGCAATTAAAAACTTCAAGAAACTTGCGAAAAGTTAATAAACAATGGAAGATAATTATGCATACTGCACTCAAATGCTAAAGGAGCCACTACAACTTGAGTAAGCATCGCAGTTTAATCAATTTCATGTTCACGTGCTTGCTAGACGAATCTTTTAATGTTCTAGAAAACTCATTGGCTCTGGCTCACAATTCGAGGTGGAACAGTCGCCATTTAGTGCTGGCGATGATGATTTTAATGTCGACGAAATGGAAGAAAGTGAGAGTGATACCGGGCCAGATGTTGATGAAGAGGAGCTCGCTTCGCCGTGGACCCAATCGTTCGAAGAACTCAAGAAATTGATGGTGCCTATCAATGCGAACATTTTCAAACGCATAACACGTGAAGGCCACCAGGACCGGGGCCTGGTTCCAGACAAGGCACGTGTCGCTGTGCGCTACAGTGGCTATTGGGAAGGCGAGAATTCTCCATTTGATTCGTCACTTATGCGCCGCAGTAAATTCTATTTTGAGACCGGTGCGGGCTGCGATGTGCTGGAAGGCCTCCAGGCCGCTGTACTTACCATGAGGACATATGAGAAGGCCGAATTTATTATATCCTATAAGTTGCTGTTTCACGAGATGGGCTGCCCGCCGCGCATTAAACCACGTGCAGATGGACTTTTCAAAATCGAAGTTCTCCACTTTACGTTGATCGGGGACTCGGATGCCTTCGCGGCCATGTCCGCTGTGGATCGGGACAAGTTCGTAGTTGTTTATCCCAAAGCTTTAGACATGAACATGCATGGCAAGGACTGTGTGAAGCGCTATCGCTACCGCAACGCCGTCACTGCCTTCGAGAGGGCCGTGAGCTCTCTGAACTATTGCCGCCTGGCCGATGATGAGGATGAGCGCAAGCAAATCGCTCTCTTGATCACTCTCAACGTAATTATGCAATTTTTTTATCCGATCCCTACTGATATGTTTGTTATTTTTTTGTTTAACTTTTTTAGCAAAACTTGATGATCTGCTACAATAAATTGCACCATCCCAAACGTGTGTGCATCACAATGAAAGCCTTGCGGCGTCTCACTGAAAATAAGCCTTCCTGTAAGGCGCTTTTCCAGGAGGGATGCGCCCTGTCCGCTTTAGGAGAATACGAACGTGCTCGTTGTATTTTTATGCAGGCTCAGGCCAAGCAGCCCGGTAGCACTGAGATCAGCGATAAGATAACCGATCTGGATAAAACAATTAAAAAATACAAAGAGGAAACTCAAGATATTTGGACTCGTGCGTTGTCAGCCCAGAAGTCAAAGGATGTGAAGGAAGGAACCAAATGTAATCCCAGTCTTGAAAAACTTGTGAAGGAGTTTGGGACTTCCGAAAAAACGTCGATGGGACTTTTGCGGGGTGTTTATATGAACTCTGACATCGAAATGTTATCCAAAATGGCCAAGGAGCACAAAATGAAACTAACAGTGTCCCCCATTGACGAGAATGTCTTGACACTGTCCAAGCTGAATCTAAAGTGATGCACTTCTCATTGAAGGATTAGATGTTAAGCGTATGCTGCCAACTTTTCTATACTTTATATTTCACAAAGAAATCAAAAATCAAAATGGTATAAAATCATTAGTTCTAGAAGAACTTAACGTTTATTTTTTACATACTGAAGAATATGAAAACTGAAATGTGTTTTATAAATACGAGTACAAGAATATATCATCTTTCTGTTGGACAGAACTTCTCGTTTGTTTTGGAATATATTTAGTTATTTAGCTGAATGTCCTGGGCCAGCTGACGCTGCAGACAATACAGACAGGTACAACCTAGGACGTGTGTGAACTTCCTGTAGCTCATAGGTATTTGAGGTGATATGTTTGTTATAAACAGAAAAATGCACGACCAGTCATGGCGGTAGCCGGTTGCAACGTTTATTTGCTGAGGCTTTGGTTAAGCGCCCGACTTGCACTGGGACAACGAAGCTTAAATGTATTTGAATACCTGTAGTTAATTGGGCGGACATGTTAGGTACTCTTCGATCGATGACAGTCAGAAAACTGTCCCCGTTTCCCAGTCTACAGATGTTCTATACAGAACTTTATTTGATTTCAATTTGTATTCAGGTAGTCAGATAAAGGAACAGCTTTGCGTGCGTTTGCGCTGTGTGCAGTGTGAGAGGAATGTCTTACGTGTTACAAATGGAATGACTAAAAACGTGTATAAATATAGGAGTAATTATTTAAAAATTGGAGGAATGGCTATTTAAATCCTGAACCTTAAGATGTGTATCTTTTGGATTTTGCACTACCAAAACGGTTATCTTGCCATCAGGTGTTAGCAGGACCTCGTGCAATCTGGTACGGACTCGCAACATGGTCAGGAGCTGCGGTGGCTCCATTTTCGATAGAAATGCCTGACACTTTTCACGCAAGTTCTCATAGAGACAGGCATGTTGGAGTGCGTCTTGACGTTCCATTGAAGTTTTGATCGGCACACCCGAACGATTCATGATTAATATATCTTCGACCCCTGGCTTTTCTTCCAAGAGGCGGTAGACCTCATCAATATAACTCTTGGTACGCTTGGGCTGTGGAATTGGCGATTAGTTGAGTTAGAATACTTTGAGGTCTAAGTTACACAGATTTGTATGTACATATGCACCTCAGTTTCGGCTGCCTGCATTGTATGTAGTGTATCTCAGAGCTCTACGCTTTGGGATCAGCTGGGAGCTCTAATATAATTTAAATACTTTCTGAAATCAACTAACGCTAAGCTTGCTAAATCAATAAGAACTTTTTATTGTGAAAATTTTACAATAGGAAAAGTAACTAGGCACACACTCCATCCACTGCCACGGTACACCATTTGTAATCCGCCAATCGTTTGCCAATGACTCTCATCATAAATACCAGAACCATTGCCAAAATGCTAAAAATTTTAAGTCTCATCTTAGTTGCGATCTTCAGTTCCCAATGTTTTCGTAAGGAGCCGAAAACGGTTTTTGTATTATCAACAATTTAACACACATTTTAAACCATTAAAATTGAATTATGAATGGATTGAATGGTGCGAAAGCTCCAATATTATTTAAAACTTAAACATTTTGGCGGCTAATTAAGCAGTTTCAAAGCAGTTTTAATATAAGCCGAATGCATTGATGCTAAGCAGTTCAACCAGTTTGCACAAGAAAATACACAAATTTTCGACGATTGTGAGAAGGCATATATGGTGCTGCGCGTTGAGACTTGCTGACTGTTTTAATGACAATGACGTAGGGTCGAGTCCGCCCGGAGACAACGAATTTCATAATTCAATTTTGATTGCGCGTTTGTTTGGATTGAGTTTTGAGAGTGTTGCCCCTCTCTTTGGCCGGGTTAATTTTCCAATAATTAATGCCGTAAATGCAAGAGGAGGTAGATTGATTGAACAGGTGGGAATTTGCCTTCGGTGCCCATTACGGTTATCAAATCCGTGGGAAAACTATCATCCTTGTTTCCCTCCACAATATTTTAGTTTTTGATATATACAAAAATTGTTTTTTCTGTTAAAACCCATTAATTTTTATTAATTTTTAATTTTCATTATAAATTGTCCAATAATTCCATATCCGCTTCTTTGCCTAAATTCAATGTTTTTTTGTTTTTGTTTGGCATTATTGGAGTATATTTTGCTTACACTTCAAACATGGGGTATAACATAAATAATACATACATACATATTATTTAATTACCGAAACAGCAAAATATAGTATAAATACGAGTATTTGTATAATAGTTTTAACGATGCACATTTTAAAGACTTTTGTTTTTCTATTTGCTTATTTGTACATACATATGGGCATTTTCATTCTGGCGTCACCTTAAATTCCAAAAAATGTGACCGACGCACATTGGGGCCTCAACCGCAAAGAGGTGGCAAAAGTCTATTAATTTTATGATAAATCCAATACACGAATCCGATATAGAATTTTCCAGAGCTTTCAAAATGCCAGTATAAAAAAATCGGACTTTTAGTTTAGGAGATATGAGAAATCAAAGTTAAAAATTATTTCCGTGTGCAAAAGTTTATTCAACTTTTATTGACATACTGAATCTTTCAGGTAGAATAAAAAGAAAACTGTGTGAGGTATCCTTATGTTTTTGGTATTTTTTACTAGATGTATTCATTTTTATCAATATTCAATGAAAAACTGGTCCGTTGCATAGACAGTTTTAAATAAACCCGTTTTTTCCAAATCATCTAGCTTTTGGGTTGTTTTTCAACTTTGACTTGAAGTACAAAAAGTATACTTTTGTATTACCGACATTTTTTAATACGTGCTCTTTAAATATTCCATTACCTTGGGAATGTAGTCAATATTTGTGAAGCGGACCTGCCCCTACATCGATAACAATGACGCAGCTCTAATTCCCCATACAAAATCCAAATGTCGTGCGAGGTAGCGTCACTGTTATCGATGTAGAGGCCAAACAGGTCCGATGCGCAAATATGGGCTTTAAACTTAGGTAAAAGAATATTCAAAGAGTATGAATAAAAAAAAAATTTCGTGAAAACAAAAAAATACTTTTTTTAAAGTCAAGTCAAAGTTGAAAAACGGCCAAATATGAGGTCAATATTCTAATGTTTTCTTATATTTCATCTATTAGAAATGTGATATCTCAAAATAAATCGGAGTATAAAAAAAATAAAAATTGTAAGTTTATGGGATATTTTTTACAAGGTAGAAAATAATAAAATTCTGAAATAAGTTTTATAATAAAAAATTGTATTTTTTTCTCCCAAAAATTTCAAAAATTATAATTGATTAAAAATAAAATTTAAAATTATTACATGTAGTGAAAATAACCATTTAACTTTATTTATCGATGGAAAAAAAAGCAAAACTTAGCACATAATGCACCGGAAATATTCACCGGAATCAAAGTTAAACTTTGACTATTTATTGTAAGGCTTATAGAATTTGTAGCACCATTACATCTTGCAGACTAAATTTTGAAAGATTTTCCCTTCAAATGCAGTTTATTTTATGAAAATATCTTGATTCGTTCAGAAGTAATTAATTTCGCAAGCTGAAATGGCCGAAGGGCCCACTGTGCGACGTAACGTTGCCAAAAACAGATTTAGTGTTTGAGTCTGCGAGTTGGATAGGACTTTTTTAAACATTTAATGTTATATGTACAAAATAAGTTTTAACATGTACATTAATATGTTTTTTGGCATGGTGGACATTTGGTCGGAAATGCCCATATATAGTACATAGGTACATATGTATGTATGTACAAATCTGTACATTTAGCGGGTGGGATGTTACAAAGGTTGCAGGAATTTTGTTGGGTACATCGATATGAATATTTTAAATTTAATTGTATTCCGAACGCCATCAAGTTACATTTCAATATCTATTCTATTCACTTTACAGTTCAAAACTTGGTATAAATATGAAGCTACTCTGTACTGTGGAGTACCACATATTCTTCTTACATTTCTTACGTTTCTTACGTTTTCTCCTAATAATGAAAAATAATGTAAAAAAAATGTATCTGAATTGACAGGTATTTGGGTTTTTTTTTCCTTTCTTGCTGTTAAGATTTGAGCAAATTGCTTTTGATTTTCGGTATTACCTATTTAATTATTAAATATATTATTTACAATACAATTGCCCTTTCATAATATTGTTTGACAGCCATTATGTATTTCAGTATCTACTCGTATGTATATTATTGTTGATAATTCTGTTTTCTCTTGGTTTTTGCTTAGATTTTAATTTAATCTCGGGGTTTGTCACAGGTACACATCCATTTCAATTAACAAACATGCAACATCAATGGATTATTCATGTGCAAATACTTGTAAGTACATACATATATGCAGATATATATTCGCTTTATGTTATGTGTCTGATAAAAATAGATTCTAGGTACATGTGTATGTAGGCTTGGGTCACAGCTACTGCGCTAAAAAACAACAACAACAACAACGAACCCAAATGACAACAACTTTTACTTGAATATTCCTGTTTCCATGACTTACGACTAACATGTGTTGACATAGTTAAATTGAAAACTAAGTATGTTGAGCATGTTCAAATTATTTATCACACATTTTTCGAGGTTTTTTGGGTAAAGGATTTTAATCAATAAAATTATATATTGATAGGCACACTTAACCAAATTACTGACTTTTAAATGATTTTTTATATTATGACGCAAAATATTTACGTATTACAATTACAGAATGGACAATATGAACATTTCAATAATATCAGTACTGGTAATTTAACATATAGTTTATGTTCTTAACTACATATGTAACTACAGATATAAACACATGCAAATGTTTATATAATATATATATGTTTTATAAATATATATCTATATGTGTATATTTAATCATAATATGTATACGTATATTTAATATCTCGTTTTCTTGCCACTAATTTGGGCAGCTAATCAATTACATTTCAAACATGAATACACAACAATGGTTATATAAATTCTTGAATTGTAGTAATAGTTATTGTTTTTTGTTTTGTTCTTTTTTTCTATGAGCATTTTGATTTTGGTTTAGTATCTCTACTAGTTCGCACACATAAGACATTTCTAAATATATTTTTGCTTCTTAATCATACATACTGGTACAACTGCACGCAAATCAATTGGATTTGATGCAACTTAATTTTTTTCATTTAGGTACATGAGTCTCTCATTTGGTTAGGCCTAAGGAAACAGGGGATGCACCGAGTGTATACATACAGATAGATAGATAGAAATACATAAATTTACACAGATGATGATATACATACGAGTATATGTATTTATGTATATAGGAGCTCTGTATATAAAATCAAAAATTACCCTTTCTAATCCGTCCCGCATTCGGTCTTTGCAACATATTTTTTAAAATATTTGTGGTATAAAACAACACAAACAAAGAAATGCGTTCTTGTTTTTATTTTTATAATATGTGTATATTTTTATATAAATTGTTTTTGGTTAAAAACTTCAAACGTTTGCTTTTGCCATTGCTCTCAATTTCCTTTGATTTCGGGATCAAATTGGGCTTTATATTCCCACAATCATATACATATATATTTATGTATGCATGTACTGTATGTACTTACATCCATATAACCATACATATAAACAAACTACAGGACAATCTTTGCGATGAGCGGGAGCCCTCTTTTATCCTACTAAATTCTACGTTAACTTGTTCGTAATTGCAATCAAGTCTTTCCAAATGCATATCCACATCCAATCCGATCCATGATATTATATCTTCTGTGGTTAGGTACTAAGGAACAGAATTCTCATAAATAGGTACTTTCTCATAGGAAACATGAAGGTTTTACTGTTTTCTGTTTTGTCTTTCTCGTTGGAAACCCCCGTTCATAATCCACTTTATGTCTGGCTGCCTACCCCTACCTGCCTGCCTCCCAAAAGTAAAAGCTAATCCAAATTAAAGCTTTCTAAAATATCTTCTCTCCGATTATCTATGTCAACATTCAAACGCATATCATTCATACATATATGGTTAGGTTTCCCGTTAGGCTAACAAAAATGGTTTGCTTAGCTGTATGTACTTATAAAAATAGTATTCGATATTGGGTTATATTATGAACTTAACAGTTTTCATTCATTCCATCCCATTTACCTCTTTTTAGTTTTATGAGATTACGAGATCACTTCGTCTGCCTATTTAGTTGCCGCTGATAAATTTGCTTTCGCTTTGCTGTGGCTGCTAGTGGCCTTACTGGTAGGTGCTCCTGTCTTACCAGAGGTTCCAGCTGTAGATGCGGCTGCCTTGGCAGAGGTTCCAGGTGATGTTGTGGACTTTCCTTTTACTGTTTTTGTAGGACTGGTTGCCATTGGCTTTATTGGCTTGACTGTCGACTTTGTGGGACTTGCAGCCATTGGCTTCGCAGTGCCTGGTTTGGTGGTCTTAATGTTGTTTTTTGCTTTTGTTGCGATGTCAAATGCTGCAGGGCTGCATGTTGTTTGAGGAGCTGTGGTCGATGGTTTGACAGATAATATTTCCCTTGGGGCGGTTTCCGATCCCACGGGTAGCTTGGCAGTTGCTGGCGTGGCTTTTGTTGCACTTATTGTAGGCTTTGAAGATAATCCCTTGGTTGTTGTGCTCTTGGTAGAAGCTTTTACTGCAGGATTAGCTTCTGTGGGAGTAGCTGCCACTGATGTCTTTGAGGCTTCAAAGGTGGCTGCTGGTGTGGTACCAGCGGGTACTACTGTTATAGCCTTTGCTGCTTTGGATTTTGGTGTTGTATTCGCTATAGTTGCTGTTGTGGAAATCACTGAAATCGACATTCCTTTGACAGCAGTTGGCGATGCCTTCGCTCTCTCATTGGCAACACAAACAGCTGTCTGGGTAATTGTCGTCACAGTTATACCGGTAGCTACTTGCGGCTTCTGAGTGGTTGAAGCTGATGCATTTTCAATCATTTTGGCATTTACTGCTGTTGTGCTGGCCACATTAACTTTTGCTGTCGATGCAGCTGTAGTTTTTGGCTTAGCCGCTGTCAAAGGTGCGGTTGGTTTCGTTTCAGTGGGATTTATAGTTGGCCCTGATATCGGCTTGTCCTCAGCAGAAGTTGTTTTGGGCTGTGCTAGCTCGGGGGTCCTTGCTGAGACTAAACAAGCAGCCGCCGCTGCTGATGAAGTCGTTTTGATCGGAGCTACGGTAGAGGAAATAGCTGCTGTCGGTGACACCTTGGGGGCCTCAGCCTCAGCAGCAACGAATTTTGTAGGAGCTGCAACAGTCTTCAAGGGAGGTCCACCAGATGTCATGGACGCTTTGACCGACGCAACAGTTATAAGTGTTGGTGGATTTACTTTCTTGGAGTCCTTCTCCCCTACTCCTGCGAATGTGGACATGGTGATGCATTCACGTCCGCTGCTCATCGTACCTGTAGCCAGAACTTTGGTAGTGCTAACCAAATTTTGCTCGTCAGTTTGGTTGCTCTCTTTTTCCTTATCTGTCATGACGACTGGCTGCTTGTTGGCAATGGTCTGAGCATGTGTGAGTGTCTGAGCCTGGCTCCTGTGCTTACTATTCTCATCAACCGGCTGTTGAATGCTGCTGTGCTTCGCTGAGGACTTCAAGATGCTTGGTCCTGGAAGCTTGCCAACCGTTGCCAGTGGCAGGAGATCAACATCCACATCAACGGTCACCACCGTCGACGAGGATGCCTTCACCCGCTCTCAGAGTTGCATAGCCTCGTCGCAGTAGCCGTTTTGGGTGTTGTTCCCAATGCCACTGCCATTGGCATTGGCATTAGCTTCGCCATCCTCATATGCTGGCACATCGGAGGATCCTTGGATCAGGATCTGTGCATTGGTCACGCCATCGTAGTTCTGTGTCTGATAACGTTCGATATGCAGGTTGACGCAGGGTCTGCCCGCCGGCCCCCATTCGGCGGTGGGCTTAAGGAGAAACTTGATACGCTCCAGGAAGCTGAGGTGCTTGGGCGCCTTCCAGATCTGCTGAAAACCTACCAAGAACACAATAAAGACAGGCAGCAGTCCGATGATCCATCCCACAGTGTCAGCCCACAAGGGATAGACGTAGTGCCCATACTTGGCCGGCTTGTATTCCACCCAATTGAAGAACAGGATGAACTGAAACCGGAACAATGCTCAGTCAAGTATCGCAGATCGAGCGCTGATAGAAGCTCACCAGAAGAGTAGCTGGGGTTATGTACCGCCACATGATGCCCCAGAAGGTGTTCCACAGCCAGGATCGCTTGCCAATCATGCCCTGGATGTCGTTGAGGAAACGCTGTGATCCGTACACCCAGGAAATAAGAATGCACTCCGAGATGGCAATTAGTAGGACAGACCAATTGGCTGCATATTTGTCCATCAGTTGGAGCCAATACATCCCGCTCTAAAGACAACAAATAAAATAAATAATAAATCAAATATTTAAGATCCTGGAGGTGATTGTCGACCATATTGATACTCACATTTGTGGTGAAGCCGAGCCCGCCGATGTAACCAAATATAGCCACCGACAGCACCACCCAAATCTTGGAGTGACGCAGGTTGGGAAACTTGTCCAAAATGGCCGTGGTCACTGTTTCCATCAAAGCGAACTGCGAGTCCAGGCCCAGGGTCAAAAGCATTACAAAGAAGAGTACCGACCACATCGGGGAGATTGGCAGACGGGTCACGACCTCCGGGTAGACAATGAATGCCAGGCCAGCACCCTGGTCAACCACTTTTCCCACATCCACATCCAGTTCATGAGCCAGGAAGCCAATGATAGAGAAGATCACCAGCCCAGCGAAGAACGAGGTGGCAATATTGCAGAAAGCCACGATCATGGAGTCCCTGGAGGAGATTCAATATTTAATTCTACTTGATACTTTAGTTGAGAAACAGTTCACTCACTTGTAGCAATTGTTGGAGAACTTGTTGTAGGAGGAGAGGGTAATCAGGCCACCCCAGGAGGGACTCAGCGCAAAGAATATCTGCACAGCCGCATCGCCCCACACCTGAGAACAGAACACGAGAGAATGAAGGTCATGCAGGTCCGTGCTGTGGATCAATATCTACCTGGGCATTGGCCAGCTGCTTCCAGTCGGGTGTCAGATAGAATAGTATGCCAGTACTGGCGCCGGGAAGGGTTACACCCCGCACAAACAGTATGACCAGAACGACGTACGGAAAGAGAGCGGTGAAGTACACAACCTTGCCGGAGGACTGCACACCCTTGCACAGGCAGAGGAACACAATCACCCAGGCCATGAAGAGGCAGCCCGCCAAAGACGGCTTAATGCTGCCAGTCTCCTCGATGCCGGACGACAGACCCAGCACAAAATTGCTGCAAAATGCAAGAAAAATCACTTTGAAACAAGGAAGAGAGGGGTCCCATTGGGGGAACACACTTGAAGTACTCCTCGGCTGGTGGACGCTTCAGCGCATGCAGGGCCAGGGCCGTGATGTTATTTTCTTCGGCCATGGTGGAATTGTAACAGGTGCGTAGATAGTAGGTGCCGTTGGTGGCATCGCACTGATCCGCCTGGACATACGAGAAGCAATCTGGAAAAAGCTTAAGCTGTCAACAAGTGGAACAGGCGGGATAGTCACCCCCCTATCATTCCATTGCTCCAGAATTATACATGAAAAGGGCAAAGGCATTTGAATATTTATGAACTATTTGTCGCTGGCACTAGAGAACGGCATGAGGTCCAACTTTTTGCGTGCGGCTACATAATTAAAAGGACAAAGCAGCAAAACATGGATAAGCATGAAAGGGGGCAATGGCAGTCCCAACCCTAACCACATCAGGTGCAATGACTGACTTACCCACTGCTCGTCCGACAGCAATGTTTGACCGCATAAAAAGGGACTGAAAGGTTAAGAGGTATTGTTGAAAAGGGATGGGACTTCAGGTTATAGCCCGGCCTTGTCCTCAACCCTTTGGCTCACTTTTCCCATATTATTTGAACTTGAAATTCTTTAAAATTTTGCAAAGTTGTTGAAGTAAAAGGTCAATGGGAGATCAGTCTGCCTCACGCCGTACATACCCATCGCGAGAGTCTCTCTGCCGGGACTCTAAGCTGATTTAAGTTTGATCCATATCCAAACTCACTTTTACTCAATTTCCCCCAACTTTCAGTCTTGAAGAAGTTTATTTCGCACGGCATGAGCTCTGTCAGCAGCCACATCGCCTGAAATTTTACATGTGTGTGCAGTAATGGTGCAAAAATATGGTAAGCAACCAAAATAAAAGTGTGGTTTACATTGGGTTTAGACTGGAAGATTGGGAAACATGAGAAAACCCAGAATTTCCCCATAGTGCGATGTATAAACGCGATTTTTTAATTTGGAGCTGCCGTTGACCACAGAGATAACTAACTGTGCGCAAGGTGTGCGTACGATCTGGCCAGTCGGATATATCGCCCCAGAAGCAGTTAGACAATGCTCTAGACTACCTGTTACTTATACACAGTGGTGTCAGAAGATAATTCTATATACAACTGATAAGGATGGACATGGATGTAAAACCAAAACATGAGCTAAGGTTAAACGTTTGATGGATTTTCAGGTCTCCCCCAACACACACGAATTTGTATTCATCAATCCATCAGCATCCAGAATTAAAAATGTGAAAACAATTTCTTCTTGCGGCTTGGGTCGGGGTAGCTGGCAAAACTTCAAAGTGTTTACAAGCCTTTTAATTTTGCTCCGGTCTGAATCTGTTTGCTCTGCAATTAATCTGATTACACACACACACACGGGCGACCCCTACATACGAATCATATAGCATTTTATTTGAGTAAGGGAAAACAGTTTCAGGCGTGTCTACATGTTGGCGTGGTACATCCACACCCACATCCCCTATTTACAAGCAACAATTCCCTCTGCATGTGACACACAATATTGGGCTCAAATTTGGTGACCTTTAAGCTTGAGGGCCAACTGGGTGGAGAGCTGATAAGGGAGTTTATTTTAATCATAGAGAACGGAATGGCAGTGTTTAGGCAAAGGTAGAAGGTCTAAGATTTCGGATATTGTCAGCTTCACTTTAGGTAACATTCTCATTGAAAGAACGTCTGGCTTATTTTTAAATATAATACCCATTCAGGTATCACGAATTCCAGTACAAAGAATTAAAACCTTTCTGGTCCAGCAATCCTTTCTTTCTATTCCTTCTTTCTCTTATCTAATCCAACACGCTATTAGGCTCATCAAATACTTATATGTATATAGAGTCTTTATTATAGACATACATAAATATGTACATATTCGTAAACAAATATATACTCAAAAGAAGAGAAACTTGTTTGGAGATCTAAACAAGAGGTAGATGGAGAGTTTGAGACTTTCAATCAATTGGCAAACAAAGTTAAACACATTTTAATCATGACACTAAACGTAAACATTTGTCATCTAAAACAGACTGAAAAGAAGACAAGGACAACAGCGACAAGACAGCCAGAGCTCTCTCAAGGAGGTCAGACATGCTCTGCCTGGATGACAGTGGGTGGGGTGGATGGATGGAGGCGAAAACGAAGGCGAATCCGAAGGAGAGGCAAAAAGTGTCAATAAATGAAATCCTTAAGAAATTGCGTGTCTGCTACGACACACTCTCTCTCTCTCTATCTATCTCTCTCTGTCTATAATCTTCCTCTCTGCCTCGTTTCAACTTTTTCTTGCTGTGTATCTCAAGAGCTTAAGCTAGAAAGTCCGTACCAAGGTTGCACAGTGTTTCTCTCCAGAGCTAGCGATTGAATGTCAAAAACAGTTGAGACATAATTTTGTGTTATTTTAAAGATTTCAGCTGACGTTTACCGCAGAACAAGACAGAGAACTACGGAAGAGGACGGTATCCACCATCTATCGATTCCTAATTTCTCCAGAGAAATGCTATTCCTCAGCCCGAGTCGGATTCTCAGTCTCTGAATCAGTCCCCAGTGTCCCCTGTCTTGTGTTAAATCATCGCTGTTCGAGTGTGTGTGTGTTCTATGCTTGTGGGAGTATGATGTGTATGTGTAAAACTTTCAATGGCAATGGCATCGGACGATAGTTATTGTTGTTCCTGTTGCCTTGTATACAGACACAGCCAATTGAGCTTGTGTGCGCTGTACATACAGATACTATGTTCGAGAACACATATGTATTAGTTGTTGAAATTATCTATGTACAATGTGTTTTTATGTACTTGTGTGTGCGTTATGGTCTGGTACCAGGGCGCATAAAGAAATGAAACATGAGAGGGCAAAAGAATCAAACGGAAGATGAGAATCGAAACTGGAGATTGTCCAGAATATTTCATACCTCTTATTAACACACATAATTATGTGTGTTAATAAGAGGTATGAAATATTCTGATTATAATCAGAAGATATATTAAACTTTTTTCTACAACAGGAAGTTTTTCAGCATCTTTTACGTGTAAAACAAAGTGGCTGGAAGTGTCTCCTTTGTCACCTTTGAAAGTTCAAGGGGATTTTCCTTTGCCCTGTTCTTTTCTCCAAAATGCCATTTCAGAAGCCAGTGTTTAACTCTCCCTGTTTAACACGCCATTTTGTACATACATACGTAAACATGCACAGAAACTTCACCTAACACTTTAGATACTCTGGATACCCTTTAAGATCCATTGACGACTCGTAGCAAACATGTGGTAAAAATCATAATACCCTCTAGCAGGATGCCAGAAAGAGAGAGCAGAGAAACAATTGCCTATGCTAAGGCGCCTTTTGGTTTCCCCGAGATTATTGTTATTATTTAGCCTCCTGTTCTTTCTTTATACTTCCTATTTTCCGGTTATACAGAGAGATGAGTACGTATTATATAATCCTGAGAAAGAAATACTTGTTTTATATGTATATAGAACCCAGTGAGTGTATTATCACTTTGTACTATTATCGAATTTTAAAATAAATTGATAACTAAAATTGTTTTTATAATTCATATATTTATTCGCAATGATTTTCAACTTTTTTAAAGTTCCTGTGGAATTTCTTGTTTTTGTGTTTGCGTTTAGATTTAGGTTTATGTTTATTTTTATGCTCACCCACAGTATTTGTCATCCCCATTGTCTCTTATGTATGTATGTATCCTGGTTACGTACCTCTCTCAATTCCCTTACCCAGTCTCAGTTGCCCTGAAGCCATGTGTTTTCCCAACCAGGCCACGTGCCAGAAGGAAAATAAAATGAAAAAAACGAAACAAGAAACAGAACTGAGGCAAAACAAAAAAAAAACAAAGTTCCACTTTTGACAGCTTGTAATTTGGTTAATTTATTTCCGAAAACGTAACAAAGATGAGAGGGAATCTGCCACTTATTGTTCCATTTGTTCTTGTCTTGCGTGGCCTGGGCTATTAATTAATTGTAGCCATCGTATTATCCACTTACCCGCCGCAGTCCCAGCCCCAGCCCGAGCCGGAGCCCCAGAGGGACTCGTTTATCTACTCACGTTTCGTGCTCCATGCCGGCTCGCAGTTCTGCCAAGGAAGCGTAGTGCCCAGCGAGGCAAACATATAGAATATGGTCCAAGCAATGATTAGGTTGTAGTAAAGCATAACGATAGCCGATACCAGGATCATGCCAGTACCCAGGCCGCGAAAAAGAGGGCAGAAGCGCCTGTATACGGCCACTGGTCCCAATGCAGCGTATTGGCCAAACGACAGTTCCATAAACATTAGCGGCAGTCCTGCAATCACCAGCATTATGGTGAATGGAATCAAAAAAGCACCTGAAGAGGATACAGTAGTTATAAATATTTACGATCAAGAAACGAGCTTACGAGCTTCGGCTGGCCGATTCTTTAATAACCTTATATACTCGTAATAACCGATGCTTCGTATGGCATGTAGCAACTGTACCGTAAAATACTAACAGACGGACTTTTAACGTGTCGACTATTAACCCAACCCAAAACTACTAATAGCAATATGTACCCTCTGAAAAGAGGTGGGTAGGAAAAGAAGTATGTTATATGTGCGCATCGCTGTCACTTACCTCCGCCATTGTTGTAGCAAAGATAGGGAAAGCGCCAGACATTTCCCAAGCCCACGGAGTACCCCAGCAGCGAGAGCAGAAAGTCGAAGCGACCGCTCCAATTGCCCCGCTCCGGCTCAGCCTCAGCATCTGCAGCCTCCACGAGCGCGGCATCGAGGGTGACCAGAGCAGTGCCAGAGGCGCAGCCACCAATGCTTAACGCTGTGGGGGTGGTGCTTATTTGTGCAGCCTTGGATGCCTTTGGTGTTGAGACGACGTCTTTGGCCATGGCCGATGCATTAGCTGGACAGACAACCCCAGGTAGAGTTCCACCCGCTGCTCCCGTTACTGGTGCGTTTCCTCTTCCTCCTCCTCCGATGACCACTTCTGCACAGCCCTTCTTGCCCAGTGCCTTTGATCCCGGCATGTCGATGGTGGTGTAGCGATCTTCGTTTTCCTGGAATGCACGGAACAAAAATAATAATATTTTGGTAGGTCAGTCTGGAGAACATACGACAGCCGTTTGGCCCACTGCCAGTTATCACAGTTCATCGAGTGCAGAGCAACTAAAAAGATTCAAGTTCCTTTTTATACCCATACTTGAAGAGTTAAGGGGTATATTCCATTTAAGGTAAAAGTGGATCTGTGTAACGCAAAGATGGAAACGTCTCCCACCCCATAAAGTATATTTATTTTTGATAAGACTCCATAGTCGAGTCGATATAGCCATTTTCCTGATAAAAAAAATTATAATTTGTATGTAATATTTCACAACCAAAATTATGCTACAAAATTTTAAAAATAATGAAAAAATTTTTCTTTAAGTATACCTATGTACATATTTACATATGTTTGTATGTATTTTTTTGCTTATAAAAAAAAGCTGATTTTATATGTGTAATGTGTAATGATTCAAACGAAATATGAATGTAATAATTTCAGCTCACAACTAAGGGTTAACTAAGGCTAAAACTGCTCAGCTCCGATGCATGTCTCTTTATAATATACACTTACCTCCCATAGATCCACATCTAGCCTAGTACTCGACTCTTTGTTAGGCTTTAGTCCTTTCATTTTAGCTTTACTCTTAAATTTCTTATCCATGGGTTACTGTTGTCCTTTTCGAGTGGTTTTGATTAGTTCAGTACAGCTGCTTAGATGAATTTTCTGCCCGAGCGTGTCGAAGCGGTGGAAACTGCTGTTCTCTGTACCAATCTCCCACTATTTCCTGTTGCTGATGGGATTTTTTTTGACTTTATAGTCCGTAGTCAATTTTGTCTCTTTCTCCCCTGCCGTTGCTAGCCGTTTCCTGTGATTTATGTGATTTGCTTCATGAATTATAACTTTTAGGTAAACAGATGCATCTCTCCTTGCCTATGCACCGAGCTTCGACGGGCAGCTTCTCTTGATAATTTTAGCAGTAGAGCTGAGATAGTAGAAAATACAGTAAAGGTATGTGAGGAAAACTTGTATTACTGACAGAATACATAAAATGTAATACGAATATTATCCATATACACTAAAAGCTTATTAAATAAACTGCTTTAAATACTCTACTTTCGCGTATTAGTTTATTACTTCAAATTTGCAGTTAATTTATTTCAAAACTGAATTTTCAATTCAATACTTTAAATTGGTTCTCATGAAACACCTCATGGTGGTCATCGCGATCTATCGATCTATCCCTGTCTCTCTCTCACTTTTTTTCTCTCTCTTCGGATAAGCTTTTGGCGAAAAGGGAAAGATCAGATGGATTGGTCGGTTAATGGGGGATTTTGGACATGGACAAAGCACACTGCAAATCTCTGGCAAGGTTACGGTTTGGTTTTTCTTGTATGCGACAGACCTTCGCGATTTGTGGGGGCGGTATGCGGCGTTTTAAAATTAGGACACTCAAAGTTAAAGCATAGATAGATCAGTGACAGCTTGTTCTCCTCCAATGAATCCACCTTCATACACATGTATTTATGTCTGTATAAATTTTTTAGTTTTCTTAACGGTAATTCAAATCGGGGTCACGTCCTAGACACTAGACACCAGACACATTTTTGCCCAGCATCCGATGCCGCCGAGATAAATGAGTGCTTAAGAAAATGACGCGTCGCCAATGGCACTTGATGTTGGTCACCCCCAGACATTTACTGACACACATATGCAAGTATATGTACATTCACGAACTCGTACATACAAATATACATATATAAACACTAAGTGTCACATTTTGCGTAAACGCTATGTAAGTATGTATGTATGTATAGTGTGCACAACACAACAGCATATATTTTCGAAACGAGGATGAGATGTCGGATTGCACGGTGTGATGCTTCCTGCTCATTCACATCCACCATCCCATTCCAGTGATTCGGGTTATTACTCTCGTCTTAGTGGCTTGCTCGGTCACGTTTTTTGTGTGTTTCTTTTTATGTGCCATTTTCTTGGCTGCAGCTGTTGCTACTGTTGTTGTTTTTCCAAGCCAATTTGTTGACAGCTTCGTAATTAGGCCGTCAAATGTGTCTTTAACCTAGCTAGCTAGTTAATGGCGCTAATGATGGTGACGATGATGACCTCTCACAATTTTCCAGATAGGCTAGTGGAATTATGGTCAATGAAAACTTATAGAACTAGCTGGTTGGTTCTCTCCCTCTTCCGCTTTCGCTTTATTCGGCCCAATTAGAATTCCCATTGCTAATCCTGCAATCGTTCCTCAGATTTCCCATTCTTATTTCCTCTATTCCACTTATTTGTGGTACAGCAGTACACCAAAGACAATATAAGTATAAGATGCGTAACGCTCATACATTTCAATTGCCATATGCAAGACAATTTTTCGGCCAGCGACGAAATTCGCGCCATCTCGCTCGCACAAATTTGAGAGCGTACGAATCTAAAAATAGAATCCGCTTGCATGTGTAAGTACACACAGAACAGCAAGTGCGTATGTGTGCGTACTTGTGCTAAGCGGATGATTTTCGAGACGGAAACCTTTTTATGAGTTGAGAAACGAAATTATATACCGGCGTTGAATACCTGAATACCCTAATGGCAATTATTCCAATGTGATTCATGGAATTTCATGTATTAAATATATTATGTATTTTTATATATGTATATCCGATCATCATTATCGAATATACCATCTTAAAATAAATTATCGTTGGAGGGATATACATATACAATATAACAGTTTTTTAATATTGGGGTGGTAAGCGTCTTACACTTATAAAGTGAAGGGTATATTTCGACAGCGCTGTAAAAAACGTATGCATGTGCACACATACAGTCGTCGCGACGACTCGGCTCGGCTGTCGCATCGGCAAAGAACCAACTTCGTGTGCCTTCGTATGCTGTATGCATACAAAAGAGCGGCTGGCTCTAGAGCGCTCTCTCTCTCTAAAAAATTTCAAGAGAGCCTGGAGCCAGCTCTAGAGCCAGCCTCAAAAATTCGTGTGCAGAAATTTCGTATGGCGTTACGCATCTTATACTTATATTGTCTTTGGCAGTACACACAGCAGAACGTTGTTACCTCAAACTTAGTACGCAGTCAGTCAGAGTTTAGAATATTTGATCTGTTTCCATTTATTTTGATATTGCTTTGTTTTCGGCAACATATGTCTCTCTCTCTCTCTCTCTTCGCAAAATAACACGCCGTTCTAGCTCATCTCCCCCAGAGGACGGACACTGCACAATGCAGAGTGTGTGAACGGGAGAGAGAGAGGTAGCGTAGCAACTGCAAATTATGAATACAAATTCATTCTGGCTATAATAATGATCGGATCTGATCCAGATTACGGACTCTGATATTTAGGGTTATTCTCTACGATTTCTTTTCGGTTTGCCTTCGGTTTTCTCGTACCTCTAGAATTGTTGATGCCCATGTGGGGGCCGGACGTAATTATACCCGTACTCAAAAAAGAGTTAAGGGGTATATTAGATTTGTGGTAAAAGTGGATGTGTGTAACGCAGAGAAGGAAACGTTTCCGACCCCATAAAGTATATATATTTTTGATCAGCATCAATAGCCGAGTCGACATAGCCATGTCTGTCTGTCCGTCTGTCTGTCTTGTTGAGCGCCTAGATCTCAGAGACTATAAGAGTTAATTTGGTTTCCAGACTCATGTGATATCCCACTGCTACAAGTGTATTTCGAAATTTCGCCCCGCCCCCTTCCGCCCCACAAAGAACGAAAATCTGTGGCAGGCACATTTTTAAAGATACGATAAAACTAAAAACATAGTATCGTAGAGAATGCCCATATCTACCAGACTTCTGAATCTGAATCAAATCGGATCATAATTATAGCCAGAATGGCGAAATTAATTTTCACTTGCTTCCCCTGCCCCCACCATCCAACGACAACACAATTCATTTTCCATCTCGCTCGCACACTCTGCCGCGTTCAGTGCGCGAGCAACCCCTAGCGGAGGAGATGTAGAATATGAATGGTACATCTATAATCTACATGTTAGATGTAAAATATACATTGTAGATGTAGATGTAGATAAGAGATGTAGCAAAAAAATGTAAAATGTAAAATTTTTTTTTAATTCTAAAATTCTAAAAAATCATAAGCTCAAAAATATATATACTGAATGAGTACGGGTATAAGTAGAGTCGCTTCCCCAGAAGCAACTCGCACGTTCCTTCTCGTTTTTAAATGCACTTATAGCATATATTTCTATATTTCTATATGGACTCGTCTAATGATGCTGATCATGAATATTTATACTCTATGGGTTCGGACAATTTTCTTTCTGGGTGTTACACACATCATCCATTTCCACCACAAAAGTAATATATCCCTTAGCCCTACCGGTTCAAGGTACATCTGCGACGGAACAAAATGATGAAATTATACAAATACGCTAAAGCAAAGCAAGAATTTCATTATGGTTATAGCCAAATCCGTAATTCTGTGCTGCTTTTGTTTCTGTAGTCGTTGTTGCCGATGCTTGTGGAGTTGGTTTAGCAAATAGTTTCTAATGATTCCTGTATTGGCCGGGGGCAAATCGAGAAATGCGATAAAGTTACAACTCAGAAACAGCATTTTAGCATTGTGTGAATTTTGCCCGTATACAGTTGAAACATTTTCCAAACGATTCGCCACTGGAATTGACCATGAAAGGTGGCAAGCGGAAGAGACAAGGTTACCCATTAACGTGAAAAGTGAAGTGTGAGAAAAGTTTTGTCCAAAAGCTTGCAAGAGCAATGGGTCAACGGCGATGGCAACTAGGACGAAGATCGAAGTAAGGAAAGACTTACGATTATGTAGATACTTAAAAAAAAAAGAAATGAAAAAAATGTGAACTTAAATTGCTTAAGTTAGGCGGAGAAGTTAGCTTCACTTAAGTTTTGGATTTGATTTTACTATAAGATATTTTGAGAATATTTCGAAATATGTTTTGTACAAATCTTTGGGTAAACAGAAAATATTATAATGAATGTCCAAATCGGTGTGCTACTATTTTCTGTCAATGAGCAATTTGCCAAAGAAGGGAAGTTCCAAAACAGGCCGTACGAAGCAGTGCTAAAATGTTCTATCTATTACTTAGAGGGTCGCATTGTCAGTAGAATGTTGGAATACATATTTTAGGTATCTGCCGGATACTTAACTCACACGGCTGGGCTGTTACCGCTTGTAGAAAATAGAAAATAACACATAATATAATTGATGTAAAATGGGACGGATAAGAGAATCACAACTAATAAAGTGGGTGAGCTGGTAAAATATTTCAGATATAATAATTTGGAGCTCATTAGTTTATGTGCACAGTGCACACTATTTGAAGAAAAAATGCAACGGTTCGGTTACGTCTGTACAAGAGTCGCACAACTAATACTCTTAGAATGTGCGGGGAAGAGTAAGCCTTCCCCGTTTCACGTAGCCTCGCCCTCGCTTGTTAGTGTTTGGTCAATTCGAGTGTGAAAATGTTTTCGAGCTTCCGCCATTGCTCGCTTATTTACACTTAATGAGAGCCCCCGGGAGGTAGGTAGAGAGGCTGTTGGTGGAAGGAGGAGGTGCATCTAATGACCTTGGCAATGTGCAACCCAGGCTGGGCTGAGGCTGGGGCTGTGGCGAGCATTTGATATGAGCAGCTACTTGCTGGCAGCATTTACCGCCTTTTTACTTTTTGACATTTTTATGCGAAAGTTAATTTTTTTCGACTGGGCACCCAAGGCGAGACACTAAAGACCTTCATTGTCATCATCGTCACAGCTTTTGTTGCACAAGTCTCGGCAATTATCAAGGGGCAAGCAAGCTCAGAGCACTTGAACCTGATCTACACGAAGGTTGCCCACCAACAACAAACAAGGAGAGTGGGTTGACATGCCACGACCCTATGTGGGAGAGGGTTTGGGATTTTTCTGTGGTGCAGTGGTTGGCCAGCATTTGTATTCATTCAGGCCTGGGCACGTAGAGCAAACTGTTCATCTTTTTTTCTTTGTAAGCATATTCCCATTTGCTGTTGCATCTGCATCTGCATTCAGCAGCAAAACGACAATTGAGCAATCAGAGGATGCTATTTGCTCGGGTAAATCTTTTGAAAGGGCTGTTGAATTTCCATATTATTTGACAACCAAGTCTCCAATAGTCGTTTCAGGAATGCTGCTCTGGATGCGCCATACCTGGTGTCAACTAACGATATCGATTTTTTATTTGGCCAGTAGCAGCCGGATGCATATGCACATATACATACATATATGTACATATATCCGATCTAGTTGTAATGCAAGGAATCTGTCGTTCAGCTCTTCTCCCTTCTCATCGCACCTCATCTACTCCCTCCAACCGGGAGACCTAGCTCACACCTTGGCGTACCCGTCGTCACCTCATTACAAATTCATATTCTTCTCCATCGTCTATCGTCCTTCGTTGTCACTTTCTAGGTAATAGCACATTCAGCGCTAAATCACAATGAAAAAGCGCGTTATGTGGAATTTCAAGTGATTTTTTTTGCGACTGTAATATTTTCAATCAATTATTTGATTAATTTGTTCAAAATATGAGAGAAATTATGCCGTACATCTCGCCAATCAATATGCATATTCATCAAATGTATAGCAGGGTTGCAAATATCGAAAATATTAGCTCTCTTTACGAGTATCTTTATCTGCACAAATAGTAATTTAGTGCTCGCGATTGCGGTGGAGCTTCGACTGGGATATTTTCAAAATTAACATTTACACAGATTTCCAATTAACGAGCTTTCTGCAGCTCGTAATAAGATAAAGTGTTTCCTTTCGCTGAACCTGAACCTTGAGGACACCAAGTATGTATGTATTGTACATATATATTTTATAATTTATATATAACCTCCCCACCCAACTTGCACAAATGTTATTTATTCTGAATTTTTGAATGTGGAAAATGTGGAGGAAAACAAGAAAATACTTATGGTAAGGGCGACGAGAAAGGAAGGGTGTTGATAGCAACAAAATGAAATAATGTTTGAAAGCTTTATTTCTTGGTGCTCTGTTTTTCCTTAAGTTTTCCACCTTTTCGGTTCTCTTTGCATACATTGTCGACAGCTGTCTGTACCTGAGTGTGTTTTTCACACTCATGCATGCGCATGCCTGTGTGCATTTTTCCACCTACTAGTATGTTGCTGTATACGTTTTCACTTAAAATTTGCAATTTAAATGTAATTTCTCAGCACCTGTGGGAGACTTCTTATTTGGTTTATGACAAATGCACTAGGGGCCGAAAGGCAGAGTTAATGCTTTCAGACAACTGGAATTAGCGTTTGCTGCAACTCTATTACCCTATTACTCCTAACTTTTGAACATTTAAAGAATGTTAGATTTTGAAGAAGGGGCAACATTCCATGTCATTACCACAATGTCTTCGCTTCTGGGCATTCAATGGATTTTTTAACTTTCTTCACTCTTAATTGCAATTATCGGAGATTGCATTGAAGCATGACCAACGCCACATTATGTGGGAGTCAGTACGGGCTGTACTGATGGAGTACCGTCCATCTGATTCTTCCAGGTGTGTTTCAGTTGGCTCTGCTCGGCTCGGCTAAGCTCGGATCTTTGGGTAAGCTGCGATTTCCAATCTCCCCCTTTTGAAATTGGATCATCCCTGATGTTACTTCCAGTCATCTGTGACTGTGGATGTGCTCGATTTTTATTCCCCTCCCAAACAGATTATTGTGTGTCCTGGAACTGGAACTCTCCTTTCTGCACACTCCCAATGCCGTAAACTGTCTGTGTCTTCTTGTCGCTGTCAAGCCTAACAGGGCTTCCACATAGTGGGGCTGATAAAATGGCGGGTGCCAGGAGCACCCAACAATGAGATTGTCGATAAGTATCAGACCTTAATGATTTGCTCAATAAATAGGAAACTATTTTTGGGATTGATACAAATACTTGTAGAAAATGATTTAGTTTGAACCTACAAACCAAACTGCAAATAATTTGACTTTTTCATTGATGTTGCAACTTCAACAGAGAGCGTTCAAAAACGCAATTACCGAAACTTGTTATGAGAAAAGTTGGAGTAAGCTGGCGCTTTGTTTTGTGCATCCCAAAATAATTTGGACTAATTTGTTTAAAGGGCTTATCGCAGCCCATTAACAGCTGTTTTGGATATAACAGGCTGGTAGGCCATTCCAATCCTGGAACGGATAAGCGAGTCTCCAGGTCGTTTAGTAGCGGTTGAACAGCAGAATGGCCAAGGAGGCTAAGAAGACTGCCAAGTGGGTGCTGCTTCTGGTGCCCTTCATCCGGTGTGCCCGACTGTGCCTAGGCAACGCAAGTGACAACTTCACTGGTGAATTTTCTAGGAGTCCCGAGAGAAATGCGGATGAATTTTTTTTGCTAGTTTTACTTTTATATAAATTCCTTAAAAGACTTTGACTGGCTAAATGATACGCAGCTGCTGCAAGTGGAGGACTCTGTCAATGGCACCGATTCCCCCGAACCCATCCCGGATTTGCATTTTCAGTTACACAACTTCATTGTCAATTGCCATCCATGCAACAACAGCAACAGTAGCAGAAGTACGGGTTCCAGCGTCCCGCTGGAGCAGCTGGTGCATCATCAGCAAATTGTTCGGGTTGCTTTCATGGCCTTGCTGCTTCACATTGTCCTTGTAGGCGTGGGTGAGTGTTCAGCATAGCAGAATCTCTTTCCTAACATTCCTTACCCTTTCCCGAACATCGCTTTGCGCCCCAGCATTCATCATCTACAGCTGCGTCTACTGCAAGAGCTTGGCCCTAAAGAGGCGCCTTAGGGCAAACGCCCAGAGCAGCCTGCAGCTGTCCGCCCTACAGCATCGGCATGTGCCCAACACTCAGAGCAGCTCCTGCCACGAATGCCAGCTGTCCAGGCAAACGCTTCAGGACCCGATAATTCAGCAGTTCCAGGAGATTGTCGAATGTTGAGCAAATGTACAACAAATTTTTTAAAGTCAGTTTCAGTATGTGTATTATTTCTGAATATTATTTCTACATAAATGTGCTTCAAGGTCACAACATACCTTCCCCAACGCAACATTTGCTTGGCAATGATGGTTCGTATATGTATCTTTGCAAACATATGTATAGCTCAAGGGAAAGTGTGCGTGATTATGGATTTGAAGAATCTGATTTGATTTTTATGTGTTGCACAAACACTCTGCTGGCTGCTGCTCCTTTCGCTCTCTTTACTGTCGTTACTCTCCCTCGAACGAGGAACGCTTCAAAGGACATGAATGTCAATGCAATGTGAATAACTAATTCAATCGTACACATTCATACTCGCACTGACACAGATACGAAGACAGGCGTGTTGGCAGTTTCATTGTCATCAAAATGCACCAACATGGTACGATGCAGACGGATGGATAGAGAGGGAGGCAGAGGGCGAGAGAGGTGAGTAGACCCACACCGCTAAGGTCAAAGTTCATCATCATTTACTGTCAGCTTCCGGTTTCCTCGCCCTTCTCGGTTCCACATATCCTTCGCGTTCTACTTCTCGAGTTGATACCGCACGTCCGCATAAATTAATACAAATAATACATTCTCTTAATAGTCTCCCATCCTCTCTCTTTCTCTCTCTCTCTTTCTCTCTCTCGATCACCCTCCATCGAAATAATGAAAGTAATATTGTCTTCAGTTGATCTTTGTTGGTTGTTTCACATTTGGAAATTATTGAACTTCGATATACCCACATATAAAGTTGTGTTCCAGTTGAACACACGCGTATTTAGAGAAGGAACTGAATGATATGAATATACATAAGGTAATGTGCAGCCAAAGCATGTTGCAAATCCATCGGACGTGGCCTTTGTATGGTCTTGATTATTTTTGATTGCAATATATATTCCATATTGCATATACACGAACAAAATTCAAATTCTTGCTAGAGAAAAGGGAAAATTATAGAAATTAAACAAAAACCAAAATCAAAATGATGGCAGAAGTTGAGCCCAAGCCAAAACAAATACGCACAGGATGCGGACAGGGACTGACTGGGGACAGGCCAATGCCAGAACAGACGTTTTTGAGAGAAGGAAACAACGCACGTTCATGTCGAACAGGAAGGAAGCCAGGCGCACGGCACGGCACGGAATACAGGAAGGGAACAAAAGCCAGAAGAAGGGGAAAGAGAGCGCCCAGAAGCCAAGGGCAAGGACGCTAAGGTAAAAACAACAACGGAAAAAACAACAGCAACAGCAATGACTATAACAAAAGCCACGACAACTACAACAATAAATACAAAAACCCGACATAGACATTCCAATAACAATGAGGAAAAACAAAATAAGGAAAAAGAAAAGGTAGCTAGCACGAGAGAGAAAGATAGAAAAAGGCAGTAAAAAGCAACCGAGGCTCTGCCAGAAAAAGCCGTGAACCCAGTGGGGAATGAGCGAGTGGAGGCTGGAATTAATTTTGCGTTCATTCGGGCCTGAGCGAAGGGCTTGGGGCTAGGGTCGGACTTGGGTGGATGCCATTGGGGGAGGGGTGGCTGAGCTAGCCATTCCTTCATAGAGATAGTGTAGAGGAGAGCCAACTTGTGGAAAAAGTTTGCAGAGCCCGAACTATCCATTCAAACCGGAATGGGATGCAGATGATGGCGCTCATGACATGAAATTCGCAAACCTATTGAACCACAGGGAACGATAATGGATATTATGGGTTTCATTAAGGTGCAACTTGAAACGTTCATGTTAAACTAGATTGAAATTCTATCTACGAATTTGATTAAATTATTGTCAATTAGAGGTATATTAATTAAATATTTAAATAAAGGCACGAATTTCCGTTTTAAAAGATGTTTAAAAATGTATGTACTGGTGTATGAATAAAGACCTGACTTATTAATTATGATTTTTTCTCACTAAATTCATATTCCATTGTTCAAAAAGTATACTACATCAATGCAGAATAGTTGTGCGAGATTACATGGCCATTTGGCCAGTTCCTGGAACCTGCCTCATTCATCCATGCTTGAACCAGGCCAGCGTATGCAATAAAATAACAAAGCTAGATTTCCAGATAATTGACAAGACAATGAAATTAGCTGGGAACAAAGAATAAAGGTGAAGGGTGAGCAGAATGGCCGGGATGTGCAATTCGATCTCATTTAATTAGGTTTGGCAACGTCCGCCTAGGACTGACGAGGACCGTGCACCGACGACCGAAGCTCGGGTTGTAGCTTTCATTACGCTCCCGCTTTGGTTTTTAATTGTTTTAAATATTTTCTGGGTTCAGCAATCGCCCAAAAGGCCCGAAGGACACACGCACCAGAACAGGCTACGGCACTCTCACACAGTTATACGAATACGAGTACGAGTATATAAATCTTTGCATTAAACGCTACTTACACAATTTAACTTTTCGTTCGTTTTGTTTTTCTTTCCGCGCTACTGCTTGCATGTGCTGTGGAATATTTGTTGCGAGCTTAAACGATTTTTGTTGCAACGCTGTTGCAGTAGAATTTGCCGTTCGTGTGATTTTTTTTGCAAGACTTAGTTTTCTGTTTCTCGAAATTATTATAACCACAGGGAAACGTCAAATTAGGCGGACCATTCGAAAGCAACTCAAATCGAAACGGAAGCACCAACACCAGGACTGTAAAAGTAAGGCAGAGAGAGAGCTTTTGTGCGTGGCCAAGAAAAGCTCGCTCTCACTTACCCATAAAAGTTTAATGCTGCTTTTGATTTGCAATTTGATTTACTGCGAACGGGAATCAGAACGGGGGATGGGAATGGATGTGGACTGGGACTGGCAGTGCTTGCTGGTGAGGGCGATGCAGCGCTAAGCTCTCAATTCTCTTTGTGGGTGGTAGGGGCTTTTCACTGAATTGGTCCTTGAATAATAATTCACTTAATTATGAATGTGTGGGCGTGGGTGAGTCCGTGCGCGTGGCACGTTGCAATGCATGCCTCCTGCTGCCGTCTTTTGTTGGGGAAGTTGCATCCCTCAAACGTTACAGGCCACTCGCTCCTGAGAAATATTGCGTTTTTGGGTAGCATTGGGAACTTAACAGTACTGTTACCTGTAGAAACATGAAGCCGAACTATTATCAAATCATCCACAAACAAGCGAGAAAAGCGGGCAAAAACGTAACTGTTTAACAGCCCCCGAAAGAGTTGGCGACCTTCAAACACACGCAGAAACACACTCAGTAGAACGATGAAAGCTGCGCTGCCTCGACCTAGACACTGAAAACGCTTTGCCTGCGGGAGAGGGTCACGAGAGAGTACCCAGCTCTCCCAGTCGCTTTCACTCGGGTTTTTTGTGCATTAGAAAAGAAACAGCGGAAAGGAGAAACAATGCCATCAACAAACCCGTTTGCAAAAATGAATGGGAATAGAAAAAAAGACAAAAACAGGAAGTAAAAATGAAAATGGATCGAAGATGAATCTATAACGGTAAGCCGATTACGAAAGCGCATACACTCAGTTCCAAATAGTTTCTATAGTTTTATGCCCCCAGCTGAGTCGCACAATATTTTTTCTCCTGTGATTGGGCGACTTAGCATCTATAGAAATCTTTAAAAGTATGTACATATATATTTCCAAATCGCTCCATTTTAGTTCAGCAAGCGGCTGGATGCCGCGATTGTTGCCGTCGTTTTATGTCTGTTGCCGTGGCCGGGACTGTTATGAATGAAAAGCTCTTCTTATTCAGCTTCAGTGGGCCCTCGGGCTGTTTTCCGATTGGCTGTCCTGTCGCATGTGTCCTTAGTGCTCTCCGCTCTGGCACTTTCTTCACTTGCTCATTTTGAGTGGGTGCTACAAGAAGAGGAAGAAACAATGGCAAGAGATTGAGATTGAGCTGGTTAATAAAACCTTGACCATGATATGATTCTTATGCACTTTTCAGAAGCAGAGCTGGGAACGTATACAGGATTTATATTGATTCCCGGCACTTGTGCAGCCCTTTTCGTCCTAGGGCTTGCACCTTGGGGCAAGTTTATTCTGTCAGCCACAGCTTGAGTCGCACAAGTCCTGGAAAGAGCACCCAACAATATCGACTGCCCGCAGTCTCAACTGTGCTGTCAGGAGGGAGTTGGGGATTACGTTGCCGTGGCAGCAAATAAGGTTGGGTAGACAATGCGAGAAGGTGCAAGTTTGTCTCACCTTTATAACCTCAAAGTTGCGTTGAGTCAGTTGAATCATAAATTAAGATTGTATATAAAGTGTATATGTATGTACACATGTACTACTATATAACTATACTAACTTTTTTACGTTTATATATAAAGGCATTATTCTTTCGTACTTTCAATAATTCCACTAAAGATTGGCCATTGATTCAAAGAAGGATATCCCCTTAATATATATCAATTGCTCTTATTAACTTATACTGAAATAAAGATATTAATTTTTTAATTTAAAAACACCAAGTGTTCCAACATATCTAAACTTAAACTATCTTTCCAGTTGGAAATTTTTAATAAAATCCCTCTTGTATAGCAAAAGTACGCCCATGTGAAGTAAGTTGTAAGCCCGTAAGGAGCTTCGCTGACCCACCTTTAGTTGGGTTTTAGTTATACAGTTACTAGTTTTAAGTATTTTAAACAAGTGCGAGAGAAGTTCCAGGCACTAACAAAGCCGATTAAAAAATCGAGCAGTGAATAAGGAGAAAAACGAGAGAGAGATCGCAACACATTCCGTGTCTCGTGGTCTGGAGCTGAGCATAGCAAACGGTAAGTCAGAATATCGTAGCGGCTCAGTCTGCCCTCCCCTTGTACCCCATTAGTCACTACGCAAGGTTAAAGTCGACAGCCCGATCCCAATCCAATTACAGGAGTGGAGCTGTCAACACGATGGGGCCCAATAACTCCATCGTGGGCGATACAACATGTGGAACGATAGTCTAGAAGTTCCTTATCGTCAAGACGTCTCAGCATAATACTATTTTAGTGTAGACTGGACTAAGTCTGATTTGCCGCTTTACAAAGTATAACTATGCCAGCTGTCCATAATCTGCGTTGTGGTTCTGGTCTTTGCTTGGTCGCAAAAGCTTTCGCTCACTTAAACTGTAGCGG